AAACCGGCTCACACGACCGACTAATAAAAGGCAAAGACGCCCACCGCCTCTCGAAAACAAACAAGAAAAGACAGTGACTAAGTCATCACGCATGATCAATTTAAAGATGTGAGCACGCGCTGGCAGAAAACAGAAACAATAAAAGCTGAAAAAAAAGCATCGACGTGGTCTTCGGCATACGGGATTACTGATATGAAGCAACTGACTTATATAGCAACGAGGGCATTCATTGGATATTGCGGTGAAAAATCACAAACTTGCAGCCTAATATACAACGCACTATTTTGTCAACAGCGCGATATGTACTGGGCGCTGCCCCGCAAATTCTTTGCTTGAGATGTGAACGTGACCTGTTCTTCATGAATTTTCGTGAGCAATAGTGCGTTCTGTGTTGTTGATTTTACTAGGCACGGCGGCCTGCAAACAGTTAATTGGGCCACAAATTCCTAAGCCACAAGCCAATAATTCAGTCCCATTTCCTTTCTCAACAACGGCGTGTTCAGAAATTGAAATAGCTTCTCCAGCCTGTCTGATAAACCTAAGAACATCTAATTTAAGCCACTGCAAATCTTGAGTGCTCTATTTCCTTTAGCATTTCGTAGTATCGTTCCCCCAGCTTTACTACCGGCGTCTCCGTTTCGTGAAATCTAAATCTTCTGTTTTATTTAAGCAAAAAATGTATTTGCTTTGCCTAGAAGAGGGTGGAGGTGAAATAACACTCCGATACCGCAAACAGGAAACTCAATTGATTTATTGGGCACGATTTTTTATAGCACACACACGCAACTAGTTATGCGTAAAACAACGATAAAATCCTTACCACGCTGTCCTACCTAGAAATTCCTGAACATTATTTAATTTCAATTGCCTGCCCCGTTTTAAAAAGGAAACATGGACTAGGAGATCAGCACAAGTGAAATTTATTTTCAGTAATAACTTTGATTTAAGTTTTTGCAACTCGCAAAACGTTTTCCAGCCTCAGAATTAAGAATTACACACACACATTCAAAGGGCATGAGTTCAGCTTTTTACTTGATACAGAAACACAGAATTCTCTGTGTTCGAAAATATTCTGAATGTCATTTTACTGGGTTAGAGTTAATATGCTTGGTGCTTTTTTGGAATTAGGTATGAACGTGAGGATTAGAGTGTTCACTGACTTTATAAAGTTACGTAATCCTTTTTAATGAGCCTCAATGCACTTGAAAACTATTAGTTTTCATACTGTGGTATTTAGTGATATTAATCAACTACCCTTTCATGGCTTAGTTCCTACATCGCAATGTGTCTACACAAGATTTCGGAATTAAGGGCACGTTCGTCTCGCGTCAATCAATCAAATTGTGACTCGCAACTTATGTGAAACAATTGCAAAAGCTGGAACAAAGAAGCCATAAAAAATGTCCACCAACATGAGTTCGGTCATCCGAGGTCCACTTGCAATCATAATAAGCTAGAGCAAAACTTGTCGCCAAAAAAAAGAAACAAAAAGGGTTTCTACATGTATCGTTCTCTAAAGAACGTGAATAGATCAATAATGAACGGCTGAACTAAAACAAAGTCAAACACAACCTATTAGCCCTTAGGATCCTCGAGTGATATTTTTAACATAATTTACCTTTAAACGGAACTTGAGAAATTACTAGTAAATTTCAAAATCAGAGCTTCGTGTCCAACACATGTCTCCCTAGCAGTATATCAAACATGACAAACCCCCTAAAAAACTGGTAGGTTAGCAATAGCTTTCAAAACGCACAATTGCCATCCGTTTCAATCTTCTTCAAGTTTTGTCTATCCCTTCTTCCTTTTTTATTTGCTGTGTTATAACAGACCTTCTTTTAATGTTCTGGGGCCCGTTTCTCGAAAGTCCCGATAATTAACGGGCCAGGTAAGCTGTCTCCATTTACATTAAAGATCGAGGTTTCAATGGTTTTGCATCTAACATGATAAAACTGTCAGTTAATGAAACAAAATGGTATAGTTTGCAAGCCAGGACCCGCGCTGTTATTCTTTATATTTCGATTTGAATATTTGATTTCGGGCCCGTAAAGTTACCGGGACGTTCGAGAAACGGCCCCCAGAGCAGTTATTTTTATTTTTGTTTCGCACAGATTGATGGCAGTTCCCAGTATTTGAATTTTGAAAAATTTTGCGCAAAAATGCAATATGCATGTACACGGTGTGGTGCAAGAATCACTCATAAAAACTGTGGTTAAGCATGTTTACGCACAACAGCAAATTTCATCACCAAGAGTCGTTTGTGAACTTAAGTCTTGGCATTTGCACTCTTGTGCAGTTATTCCCTTTGGAAATATATTTATAAACAACTTTGCAAGATTAAATTTTCAAAACGAGCGCGCACTTGAATAGAACGTAGTTTTCCCGGCTTCAAGGTGCGACACACCGAGAAGATTCTTCTTCTTACAACCTTTTCCAACGTCTCTAAAAATCTGTTTCAACGGTAAACTACGTCACCACGCAAAAAATCTGTGCTAGGACCCCAAAACTGAGTCATGTACTTTATCTTGTTTTTACTTGCCATGAGCCTAAGGAAGTTGTAACAATTTCTCCAAATTATCTTGTTTGGTAGGTCAAATCAGAGGACCTGGTACAAGACCGCAAGACCGTCTTGCAACTTGCAAGAGGGCAGGAGCTGGAGGAAGACGCACGGGGTCTGAAAACAAACAAAAGGCTTACTATATCATTTTAAATGGTAATTTTGTTTCTCTCCCTTTGCGTCTCTTTCTCTCTACCAAGGCGGTTTTGTACCACGTGAATGACCAGCTGCAAAGGGACTATCGTAGAAAGGAAATTTTAGCAAGAAAATGAAAGTACTTGTTTGAACTCTTAATCTAAACAAACGGTTTATTTAGCTTAAGATGTATCAGAAAAACAAGATCCTCTTGTCGACAGAGCTAAAAACTGGATGACGATAACAAGTTGATCAGTACTGTAACAAATTGAAGACTGAAAAAGGCCTCAGTACTATTCACCAACACGGAAAGTCAGCCAGTCAGCTTCTGTATTGTTAGATTCTCTCATTTTTATTACTTGCAAAACCGTTACTTTTTCCCTACCTCGAATAGCGTTTTTTCTCTTATTTACAGGGTAATTGCATTGTATTGTTGTGAATAAAGCCGGTTTGTTTGTTTGTTGTTTGCTTGTATGTTGGCTGTTTTGCTCAGAAGCTATCACTATTAACGGATCACACACGCGTTGCTAAGATTTCATTCACAGACTTAAGTTAGAGCCGATGCCGATGGACTAACGCTGTCACGCGAGGTACTCCGCCCGAAGGGGAGCCGCGTGCATAGAAAATAGGCACAGACGCGCCAAAAGTGGGTTACTTGAAAGAGAAGTTATTTTAAAAAAATCCTTCTATTATTAATTATCTCAAGTGGTAGAAATAAATGCGATTTTCTCTGCAAGGTACAACGAAGGGCTCCCTCTAGTATAAAGTATACAATGTAAAAGACAGAGAATATAAACGCGAATACAAGGGGTCAGAAATCATAAAGGCTGTAAAAGAGTAATGTTAGTCATATGCGAAGAATAGGAAATGGCCAGTCCTCTATTTGTTTTCTTTGCTAAAAATGAATCAAAAATCCCAAAAGGGATCAACATGGTTATTTGAGAAATTCAATCAGCTTTATTCTAAAAGGAATGTTTTCTTTTTTGCTTAAAAAACCTTTTCATAAACATCACTTCGTTTTCTTTTTAAAGAAGGAGCACAGAAAACGTCACATCAAACAGGCGTCATTTCCGAAAGAAGGTAGCTGACGCACGCAACCCTTACTGAAACTAATCCGGAATTTCTTTGCTGAATAAGGAGTTTCATTTATTTCCTTGACACGAATTTCTCGTCTACTTAATTTCTGATTTGAGAAAAAAGTCGATAAACATTAACATCAAACAGGTCGGCAAGTAGTTGATACAATATCAAAAACTATCAAAGTGGCACCGTTTGAAACTCGTATTGCATGTAAACAATGAGTAAAAGTACCAGTCACATTTGACGCACAACTACGTTGTTGAGGGCAAATGAGACAAAAAAAAAAACAAACAAGCTCGTAGAGGGTACAGGAATCCTACAATTTGCTTTTCGCAGGGGAAATTACTATTAATATAGAAATTCCGGCGTTCCAGACGATAAAACCAACAATAACGAATTCTATAAGTTACAATGAAAGCTCTGTATTCCAAGTTGTCAAAATCAAACAAAGTATACTTCAGCGTTAATGCCTCACTTTTTTTCGTTAAGTTTCTTTTTCCTCGCTTTTAACAAATATTTTCAAATGAGGTAAACAACTGTTTTAACAAACTGTGACAGTTGAGAGTGGATTGATGGTCTAGGTTTGGTCATGTCGACGTCTCACTCCTCAGCAGACTAGAAATGACAGCATTTATTACCCTGCACTTTACCCCACAAGGGAATTTAAGACTTCCTCCTCTTGACCTTGACACTACTAGTACTTTTAAAACGCAAGGACGTGTTTGTTTACTCGAGTCAGCCGCATGCGCACCAGGGCGCTCCAGTGGATTCAAAAACGCTTGTTTTAAGAGACCCTTACACGGCTTTCAAAACTTTTCAACTTTTGACATGGACAAGTTAGGGAAAATCCGTCAAATCCGATGGAAAGAGCGCCTTTAAATTAGGAAGATTGCCAAGTTTGAAAGTGATTTGTGAAAAACTAACGACGTTAAATACAGCTTTGCCAGGCTCTACCTTCGCTCGCTTAAGAGGTATCACTTTATAACTTGGCAAGTTTACTAATTTTAAGCAGCACTTTCCAGTGGCGTCCACGGATTTTCCCAAAATGGTCCGTGTCAAAAGTTGAAAAAACCGTGAAGGGGATTATTACGGCTTGTAACGTAACATGGCGTCAAAAACCGAATTAATCCGAAAGGATTTTTAATGACCTATTTAAAACGCCAAGTAAACGAATTTGAAGATTAGAATCTCTTAAGATTCTTAAAAGTTTATTTGTCTGAAGCAGAAATGCGACACATGTTGTAAAATACCTGGAGTCACTAAATTCTTTCGGTTGAAAATCAAGTAAGGGACTTTATGGGTGAAAGCTGAATAGTTGTACTTGGAGTTCATCACTTGTCAGACAGCGAACTTAAATAGACAGTACCACAGAAAGGACTCAGGGGCACCCAACGAGAATATAGTTCAAAACCACCAAAACATAGCATTGCTGAACGTATTTTAGTATTTAAACGGTAGATATAGGCATATTTTTATCCCCTAAAACTTTTTCATCTGTTGGGATTTCCTTGCTGAAAGTCTAGTGATTCGGAAAATTATAGGGATCATAACTTACCTTTTCGAAAATTTCAGCCCGAAAAAAGGCTCCCGAAAATTCTTGGTGACCTTTTTAGGGTAAAAATCCGTTAAAAAAGGGCAATTATACCACTTTTTAGATGTTCGAAAATCCTAGGAGAGGCAGGCAAGCAAGAAATTTTACAACAAATGTTCCGAAAATTCTAGATCTCAAATCGTCTTCCGAACAGATATTTTCCGAAAAATGACGTTGGGTGCCCCTGAGAACTGACTAATCGCTACCTTTCGTTTTATCTATACAAATTCAAAATTAAAAACTACTGTTTATGTAAAATAAAAAAACAATACAAATAAGTACTGTTTAGTAACTTTCGACAGAACAGTTGCTTGACTTGCACTTTGATCCAAGGAAGTTGTAAAACGCCGGGAGAAGAAGTTTCCGCAACACGCGCAGTCCTGTTACAGTTTATGATCACGGGGCTGACAATTAATGGATTATAAGTATTCGAACACACCGAAAAAGGTCGATTGTGGATAAGCTTGCCCTGGAGTAACTTATGAAGTGTTTATTTTTTTATGGAACAGGAACTGCCCTCTCTTTTCTGGATATTCTCCACACCAAAAGAAGATAACCCTGTCCCTGTTATCTTTGGACCACGCAAAATTCAAAACAAAAATAAACCAAAACGGTTGTCATTCAAAGTTAGAACCTCTTTTTAAAGCCTAATAAACAGCACCACAGCAGGAAAGTACTACTCAGTAGTTTTCATTTGAATGGTCACACTCATTTAGGAAATCACCCACGCACAGAAACAAACTGTTGGACCATCTTGTGCAGCATAATACACAGAACCACTGGAAAGTACTGCTCAGTAGCTTTCATCCACTTAGGGAAGTTAGAAAATGCTGTTAGTTGACTTGAAGCAGTTAGAAACAAACAAACAGGCCTCTGTTATCTCGCAAAGATTCCAACTAGGCCTCGTTGATTATATTCTACTTTCGCCTTTTTGGGCATATTTGTTTTCATACTCAAATCCTCGAGATAGAGCCTACGTTTGTATATGATTCCTGATTCAAAACCTTTTCTTCTTTTCACTAAAAACTAAGTCAAGCAAAATAAATCTGGCAAATTAAATCAAGACGAATCGAAGTAACCAAACTAGACGGTAAAACAGGAAGCATATGAAACAGGAACAGGCATATCTAACCTGTTTCAAGATTATAAGGATAGAGCGGGCGGGAGTGAAGTTCTTGGAAAAAATTCTAGAAGAATATACAAATGGTCAGCGAGCGTTTTCCCCTTCTTCCCGGCATTTAACAATCAAAGTAAGCGGCGTGTAATCAGCTAAATCAGTATCTTCTCTTCCTGTCCTTTATGAAAGGACTACAGTTGATCGAGTAGTTGTTTTACAATAGTGGCGGTTGTTTCCAGAAGTTACTTGATATAGAGGAAGCTCTTTCGTGAATATTTTTTTTATTCACGAAAGAGCTTCCTCTATATCGAGTACTACACTTTCTGAAACTTGTTTCAGCTTATTCCTGTCCTCAATTTATTTATAATGTTACGCAGGTAAATTACGGTATTTGTTGGTGCGCATAAAACGACTGCAAAACACGTGAACGTTTTAACCACGAGCGGCTTTAAAAAAACTCTAGAAATTACGACTTGGACCAGGACACGGTCGAACTGTATATGTTTTCGAAGTTTTTTTCCATTTATTTTTTGCTTTCTCTCTCTCGTTTTATTCTCAAACATTTTTTAAAGGCAAGTGATATATCGATGGGGCAAAGCTGTCAAAATATCAGCAGAAGAAAAATTGTCTAGCGTGATCATGCCAGATATTCCCATAACATTAATTCCTGGGCCCACTTGTCCGAAAGCCGTTTAGCGCTTAATACAGGGTTTCTTTTTTTTGTTGTTCAAACGCACTTTCTCGGATAATTTTCTCTGTTATTTTTACGAGAAACCAATCAACAACTTGTTGACAGACAGAATGAAACTGAATTCAGTTCACTTTTTAAGCTTTCAAATCTGAATTCAAATTTCGCACTAACCCCGGGTTATATCCAAACCCAACTTTGAACAACACGGCCCTGGTTAAAACGCGTACCATGTAAACTTAATGGTTTTAAGTGAAAGGATGAGCTTAAAGGGGCCTCGCGGACATAGAGATTTAAAACTGGAAAGGGTGGGGTAGCAGGGGAAGAAAGTGAGCAAAAAGCATTCCTCCCCCACACCACTCATTCACAGTTTTGCCTTCTTCACCAGACTCTCGCTCCTACTTTCTGCATTGCTGAAAATGCTGGATAGCTAAGTGCCATACATAAGGCCATGCCATCGTCTTTTTCCTGAGTTATTTCTTAACTTGAAAAACGCATGCAAGAAAAGATGTCCCCAACTTACACGCGAGAGCATGTGTTTTGGGTGCAATAATCTGGAAATACCAAATGCCATTAGATACCACGGATAATACAGTCGGTAGCACTGCAAATGTGATTTTTGTTCCTGTCCTCAGTCTATCGATTCAATAAATAACTGCCGTAAAATTAAACTCTTTCTACTGCAGAAGACGTCCCTTGCTATAAGCGATGCTGAGCAGTGATACTGAACGCGTTCGTAGCCAAACACTTACGTGACCTGTTCTTTCCTCATTCTTGTTCCAGTGAACACTTTTCTCTTTCGAGTTCACTTCTCTCATCCACTATGGCGATGAAAGGAGTAAGACGTGTTCCAAATTCGCACAATTAAACTAAAATTCCATCCAGTTTTTGCGCGAGCTTTTGAGCGAGCTATGATTGTCCATGACCGTACGACGCCTAAAGACCAACAGCACTCAATTAGACTACGGAGCTCCACTGCCTGCAGGATACAACACTTTATTTCGGTGGTGATTCCGGTATTCCTGTTTCCGGAAAACCAGAACTATTCCCGAAAAGTGGCGATGTAGGATGAAGAATAAAAGATGCTTGGCCTGTAGGAGGTGGCGATAGACGCATGTCCGAGAGAGATGTCGGGAAGGCTGATCGAGAGGGCGATGACATCAGTGGATTCATCCCTGTGTGTATGCGTACACAATGATTAACTTGTATCAATTTCAGTTTGCACTTCTGGCTCCCACCTAACATGCAATCAGCCATTTTTTGCGGGAGAGGGCGAAAGTCGGTGCAAGGGCAAGAAGGAACACCTGATCGCAGGTTAGCTCCAACAGGGCACGGAATCAGTTAACAACAGCTAATACCCTATTTTTCACCAAAACAGCAACATGCAACAACCTTATTTCTTGAGGTTGTTGCTCCAGTGATTGTCTGAAAATGGTGTCAACATTTTTCCTTGTCAGTCACTGTCAAAACATCGACCGGTGACCAAGACAAGCGCTGTCGAGATTGCTGACTTCAAGCTTTTCAAAAAGCAACAACATCGACAAGAGAAAATCGTTAAGTAATCAGGTATGTATGCTATAAATAACCAATGTTTATTTTTTCTTCTTTATATTTGCCGAGTTGACATGTGTAACTAATGCAGCACAGATTCGTAACTAGGTCGTATAAACAAACAAAACAGGGCGAACAAGTTTTTTTTCCTTTGCTTGGAATTATTGAAAGATGGTGGTCTTTTCTCTAACGTGTTTTAATGCTATGTACGTGACAGACGCTTACCTGTATCCATTTCTTCATTATCTAAGCCATCCAGCTGCGGGCTGGGACTTGGACTGCAGAGGCCTGGAGACGAGAGGGGAGTGATGGTAGACGCAAGAGTGAGCGGTCCCATATCGGCGTAATCTGTAAACGACAACAAAAAGTTACAAATTAAAGTTTGGCTCTAGAAAGTTATTAAGGTAAGTTACAGGGACCTGATTTTCGGCCTACCTTGTACTATTCTGTAACTTGAGAAATTAGTTCCAAATGGCCAAATAAATGACTGACTGACTGACTAACTGACTAAGATGACAGGCAGACATACACACTGAATGAGTGAATGACTGACTGAATAACTGACTAACATGACAGACAGACATGCAGACTGACCGACTGACTGAATGACTGACTGACTAAAATGACAGACTCACTGACTGAATGATTGACTGAATGAATGACTGACTGACTGACTGACTGACTGACAGACAGACTGACAGACTGACTGACTGACTGACTGACTGACTGACTGACTGACTGAATGAATGAATGAATGAATGAATGAATGAATGAATGAATGAATGAATGAATGAATGAATGAATGAATGAATGAATGAATGAATGAATGAATGAATGAATGAATGAATGAATGAATGAATGACTGACTGACTGACTGACTTACTGACTGAGTGAACGAATGACTGACTGACTGACTGACTGACTAACTGAATGAATGACTGACTGACTGACTGACTGAATGACTGACTGACTAACTGAATGAATGACTGACTGACTGACTGACTGACGGAATGACTGGCAGACTAACTTACCGACACAAATGCCCTGGGGACGAGATTGATGACAAAAGGCATGAACACATTTAGAACCGAACGAATGCTTCGATCCAAAGCATTATCATTAGTTCACAACGTTTACCTTGACTGTTAATTACCTTTGAACATTTCTTCATCATGATTTATCGGAGCTGACGAATGGGACGTCGCCACGGCTCCTGTGATGTGATCTTCTTCATCAGCTAAATTGGCGATGGAATTCTCGTCTGCTGTCGCTGGGATTCCCTGCACAACTCCTGAAGGATCCGCTGTAGATGTACCGGACTGTTTACCTGCAAAAGCACTAAGGATTAGGGTCTGAACATACAGGTGGAGGGAGTTGCTACACTTATAAATAAGTTACATGAATAGGTAGAGATCAACCCCGCCATTTTCCCTTTTTCGCATTGCCTGTAATACACTTTGTTTGTCCCAACGACCACCCCCCAAATTTTGCACCGTTATTGTTTACAATTTCTCCCGGGTATTACAGTCGTCCGAAGTCCGAAGCGAAAATGAAAACAATGGCCATTGTTATTCTTAAGGGTTTCTTTAGACTGCAAACAGCCTTTGTTTTTCTTTGCAAAGTTACACCATGCGTTACCCATGCACGTGAGCCGCGATAAACGAGAGAGTAAGCCCTAAAAGATTCCTTATTGTAACGTAGTCGTTTGCAATCGCGCTGGCTGGGAAAGTACTGGACGGATTTTACGACAAAAGGCGGACTACAAGCAGTCTAGGGTTTCTTTGAACTGTATAACCGAAACTTTTGTCAAAAACTTAAATACACGTTAAAAAGTATCGACGATAACAAACAAAAAACATAAAATCTAACCGTTCATGCAAGTGATGCGTTTAACTTTAAACTAGATGCAGTCATACCTCGCTTTGGAGCTCACCATACCCAGCGAGAAACGAAATTCAAGTTGAAATTACTTAACACCAAATAGTACCATGAAAAACGACCTCAAAAAAGGTTTAAGTCACATCGAAGGAAACAATCTCAAACGGTAAACCTTTTAAAGACAATTAACCTGAGAAAACAGCTGACATTTGGCGACGCCCCCAGATCTGGGTAGTGACGAGTCATCAGTAGGGAATTTCTGCGCTCGCTTCTCAGACGTCACTTCACGGGGAAACAAGTGGTGGCGTCGCCAAATGTCGGCTGTTTTCTCAAGCTTACACCGTAATTTTTAGGGAGTTATTATAACTCCAAAAATGGAGTAAAAATTTTAGGTACAGGAAAACCCCCATTGGGGGTTACTTTAACTCCTAATTTAACTCCGAATTTAGGGTCATTTTTACTCATGAAAAAGAGTTCTTTTTACTCCTAGTCTGGAGTTAAAATAACTCCAAAATGGGGTTATTTTTACTCCTTACATGGGTTGTTTTTACTCTTTTCGGAGTTAATTTAACTCTGAAAGTGGAGTAAAAATTTAAGGTGCAGGATAACTCCTTTTGGGGGTTATTTTAACTCCTCAATATCTGGGGTCACTTTTACTCCTGAAAAAGAGTTCTTTAAACTCCTTTTTGGAGTTAAAATAACTCCCAAAAAAATGACCCCAGTGTAAGGATTTTAATTAACCCCACTAGAGGAGTTATTATAACTCCTTGAAAATTACTGTGTAAAGACTGTGATTAGTGCTACCATAAAAAAGAATCTGAAATGATCCACTTTAGCTCAAGACTGAGAAAACGTAGCAGTAACCTGCAGTAACAAGATTACATGGAAAACCGTTATTTGTAATTTTTCACTGGAAGTGAACAGCAAGTGTAATTTTTAAAGATAAACTTACCGGAGCTTTGCTTGTTCTGTGGTTTCGGCAGTTCAAATTTGACCCACTGATACTTGGTGCATTTTCTGGCACCAGGTAAGCTCTGAATCAAGTACTGAATGGTTGGATGAGAAAAGCCAAAAAACTCTGGACCCGAACCTGTGTTAGACGCATCCCTGCCTCTGTTAGAAGAAAAACGTAGCATATTTTAGTAAAATCCAACTAGTGGTCTATTATCAATGCTGCGTTCTGATTGGTTGACCTATATATTATAGCCCACTAGTAGCGAAAAACGCGGGCTTCTTGGCGGCAAAAAGGGATTGAAGTCTAGCTTTAACTAGCTAAATTTTTTTATTCTCGATATTTTTCACCAACTGGTTGGATTTTACTAAAACAATTATTCCTTTCGCCCTCATGGCCTATGAGTCAATAGTCCATGAGACCGATTGACTCAGAGCCCATTCCGAGCCCATTCCGATGAACAATTGCCAAATAGCCCTTCATAGCTGAACCCTTAAGGAAACATAAGTATTAGAAAGTTTTTTTAAAAATTCAGTAAGATATATACGAATTGCATATTGGATACATAGCCATTGACAACCTGTAATAGTCGAATAAATTTTTTTTCCCAACTGTGTATGAGATGCGGTTTTCGTTCGATATTGCATTTCGTCAAAACGACGATCGCCTGCTGGCAGTCTCACTAGAGTTCTATTTTCCCCGACCTAGCCACAAGTGAGCCTGCTACATAATTTCTATTCCATCCAAAAGACGGGCACGGATAGACAACTTGTTGCAGAGCCTTTAAACAACTTGCAGCAAAATTATTCACAACTCATTTTGTCAAGTAGACACCATTTGTCCACTCGTAAGGTTAAAAATTCAATTTTCGGATCGAAGCAAGTCGAGTATTGGGCAACTTACATCGAGGGAATAAGTTTCAGAGGAATTGTTCACATTTTGCATTCACATGTTATGTAAGATATGAGCTGAAAACCCTTTTAGAGGACACCTGGAGGCAGTATTTCGGCCATTTAATGGGGACTTGCTATGTGATAAGTTATTTACCTGGCCTTATTGACCGCCTTGAGTACCACACAGTGACAAGCAGTAGCGGATGAAGCGATGATTGGATGATCCGGGTCATCTTCGGGACACATCTCAAACTTGAAAAACACACAACAAGAAGATCAAAAATAGATCATCCGCTGGAGAGTTAGCAAACCCCTTTTAGCAAAGGAGGGCAGGGGAGGGGGGTGGAAGCCCCGATAATAGGGGGCAGGAGGGGTATGGAAAGTGGGAGAGGAAAAGTCGGGAGTTAGAAGTTCTAGAAGGGTAGGAAATTGGAGAAATACGGAAAAATACGAAACAATGGTTAATGTTTCGCAATCGAAAAAGGGCTAAAGGGAGGAAGGCTAAAAAAAATGGAGGTTTGCGGAATCCCCCCCCTCTTAACCTTTCAGTCAAAGATCAAGCAAACGAACAGTTTGCGCGCGTACAATACACTCGTCCTTGCAATAATCCCAAAGGGCTCTTGGAAGCCTATTCGTTCACGTAACAAATTTCTTTAATTTCGATTCAGTAGCCTTACCACAGACTTGTCATGTTCGACTCTGATTATAAAGTAATCATGACGATGGTTTCATGAGAAATTTATAATGCAACAGTGGAAGAAAAAAAAATAATATAGGCTTTAAAACTGGATATCTACAATAACCCATGCTCACTGCTAACACCAAAGGAAATATTGAAGGCAGCGAAACTGGGGTTTCAAATTGCTCGTTCAAAGGGCTCGCTGGTTATTAATGGCAGCAAACCAGAGTGAAACTTCAGTTGCCGTGTACAGGTTATCACTACCTCAAAAGCAGGCGCTAAGACATGTATAGAGTGAAATAGATGTAACGTTTTCCTCTTATTATTAGAACAAAATATTTTTTAGTAAAAATTGAAAGACTGACAATATAGGAAAATTTCAAGCATTCAACAAAGTCATAGATAGCGCTTTGACAAGTCTAAAAACGCTATGGCGAGTGTTTGAAACTTTACAAATTACCCAAAATACCCCCTGAATTTGGTAAGAACTTTTCTTTTAATTCCTACCTGAGGGCCAAATCCTCCATCTAGAATTTTGCAGGTATAAATGCATTTATCTTCAGGGTTCTTCATGCTAGGATAACTTCTGGAGCTACAGTAGCCAATGGGCCAAATGTACCGCTCAGAATGGAAACCAGGTCGCTCATGAACAATCTATGAAACAGATAATACGTAATGCGAATTTCCTGTCAGCACTTAAGAAGACAACTGGCTCAGTCGGAGAAGTCAACTAAAACGCTCAGAAGAGAAACCACGTCGTTGTAGACAATCTATATGAAACACTACCGGAATACTTTTTTTCCCAAGAGTTGCTACAAGAGAATACAATTGGCTGATCCAATAAGAGAACATTTCGATATTTTCTATTGAGAATGGCAGAATGGAAACAAAATCGCATACAAACCAACAACAGAAACAAGGCACTGTATTAGAAAATTTCCCTTTAGCACTGGCTAAAACAGAGCAAAACTCGGCACAGTGTTTAAAAGATCAATGCTAAACTGATATCTTTGCCTTTCAGCCAAAACTTTTAACACTAAAAAAAAAAAACTACGTATTTAAAGCTCTTTGACTTCCCTGTCACCGGAAATTAAAACTGAGACCTTTAGATTCTAGAGGACGAGATTTAACTTAAAGTTTTTCTCGCCTATTCTCAAAAAATAGACACCCCGGAAAGCTTCATTTTATTTTTTTCCACCAGAAAAGTTAACACGCAAATTGTTATTGAAGGAGTTTAGCCCTCTCGCGATCGTAAAATGAAAAAAAAAATCTGACATTTGATAACTTCTTTCTGTCACTTCGACATTCAAGTTTTTTACTTTGGAGTTTAAAAACCCCAAAGTAGAATGACGACGCCTATTGCATTTTCCCGCCAAAATGACGCGGGTTTACACGCGCGCACTACTTAGTATTGGAAGAACTCGTTTTGGTCTTGGATTCTAATGGTCTCTAATATAAAACTAAGTATTTCCACATAGAGAACATGACTCACCTCGCCAAGACTGTGAACAGTAAGACCTCCAAGAACTATTGGGAAAATGGGTTTACCTGTTTAAGAGAAAACCATGAGTACTACCAACAAAATTAATAATATCATCATCACAGAGTAAGCATAGAAACACACTTCAGAATACATTACAAGCTGTCAAATCCCCCCAACCTAAACATAAAATGCCTTAAAAAATTACAAGAACAATCTTTAATTCGCTGCTTTCTTAGGTTTATGTACATGAGTAGGATTATAGCCCTATTCTCTATGAAGGGGTTGAAAATAAACAAAGTTTCATGGTAACTCTCAAACTTAAACTCTTAAAACTCTTTAACTGAGGCAAAGGAGGCTCCTCTTGCATCTCTGTCTTCTTCTCTTTTCTAGCTTTCTCTACATCCTCTACAAGAGAGCCTGTTCACAGGCTAGTGTATATAAGCTTAGCTGTCTTATTTTCAGTTTTAATGATTCGCCCCAGATTAGGGAATCTGGATTCTGGAATCCGGAATCCATGAAATTTTGCCTGTGGAATCCAAAATCCTGGGCTTTGGAATCTGGAATACAGCTCAAGGGATCTGGAATCCCACTAACGATTGGAATCCAGAATCCAAGTGCCACTGACAAGGAACCTGGAATCCAGTACCTGGAATCTGGAATCTGGAATCCTAAATCTTAGTTTGAATTGGATTCCCTTACATGAGGACACACAACCATGCAGCTTATAAACAGGTTTGCAATCTTTTCTAAATGATACTGACACAAAACCTTTTCTTATACCTTTGGGATCCACTGCAATGGGTTGTACTTTGCGCTTCACAGCGGTTCCCGGTTTCTTTCTCTTTGGTTTCACAGATGGAATTCCTGGTACAGTCGCTACAGCACTTTTAGGAACAGCATCAGCAATGACAGAAGTCACAGGTTGAGAGCTTTCAGATTGCTGTGCTTTGGGTTTCTTTGGTTTTGCAGGTTTCTTCTTTTCTTGTTTTACTGGTTTTTCATTCACCACATCTTTAGCTCCTAGCCACAAAACAAAACGTCAGTCTTTGTTCAAGATGTAAACAATGCAATAACTTTAATAGTCACTGTAATCTGATTGTTGAACAAAACATAATGTGGTGTGATGGACAGATGGGGGTAAAATGAGTGCAGTGTCAGCCTCAATTTTTTTCAGTTTACGTAAGTACCACTACAAGTTACCAAGTAAAACAAGGAACTTTGCCTTTTAAACTCTGGCCATATGGGCTTTCATGACTTAACAGTTCTGTACCTACATTTATTTAAGTTACCGATCGAGAGGAGAAGTCATTACGCCATATTGCCATGGTAGCAAAATTTCTGGATGACAACAAACCAAAAAAACTCACTTAAAAAGTGAATTTGCACTGTTTCAGACTCATTGATGGCTAAATTTTCTGGAGTTAAATCTGAAAAGACCGCATTTAAGTTTAGAAAAAGAAAAAAAGGTTCACCTACTTTATAAAGCGGGCACATGAATTTAGCAAGTTTCAGGTCATAGTCGTACAACAGCAGTTAAGAAATGTACAAGAAAGTGTGATGCACGTGCAAAGTTGTTGTTTTGCTATCTAAACTTGTTGCTTTTTTGCCGTCATTGTTGCTTAAGCTTCCTATTGTAGTGATCCAAAAATTTTGCTACCATGGTAACATGACGTCGCACTTCTCCTCTCTATTGAAAGCACTACTAACCTGTAATATCTGCTGCAGCCTTTTGAGCCTTCACTGCTGTTGCAGTCGGAGCCTTGGCTTCTTTGCTAGTCTTTGACTTAGCCACTGGTCTTTTAACCTTGACCTTGGGAGCCTTAGCCTTGCTCATAACATGAGGGGGGAGTACGACAGGTGGTAGAATGTCTGGAGGGAACGGAGAATAGGTAGGCATCTGAAAAACCCCAGCTTCTGCAGCTGTTTGGTACTGAAATAGTCTCTTGAGAATGAACCTTAAAGGCAAGAGAGAGCATTAATTTTGTAATAAGTTTAGAAAAAGAAAACAAAACTGTGTTTTGTTCATCTACTTTATACAGCAGGCACGTGAAATTAGGAAGTTTCATGCCGTAGTCATACAACGATGCTAAAGAAATGTATTCACTCACTATAACCTACAATCGGCGACAAAATTATTGAGACATTGTACTCAAATAGGGTAACTTCAGAGAACAAAAGAATCCACACCCCTCCCCCTCCCCTCCATACAAAGTTGGGGTGTTTGTTATTTTCTATGCGTAGCTCAAACAGTGGCACGACATTGCATGGAGGGGATTGGGGAGAAAAAGCTTTATAATTTTCCTCTTTTGAAGTCAGTAGAATGTCTGAAAGCCCCTTTAGCGCAAAAGTACATGTCTCAACTAATTTTCTGGTCGATTGTTTATTTTCAAAATGGTTTAAGGCAATTTTACACAGGATGATTTGCAACAATGATGTTTAGCACAACATTGTAGCAACATCGATTTTGGGGTACTAAAGAAAGACTCTGCATGAATCTAGTAAGATCTTAGTTGAGCATGTGCTACATGTTGTTAGGATAATAGTTTTGAACCCATGCCTAATAGCTGTGCACTTGGTACAACAGGCACAGTAATGACCATTGGTTTACCAATAATGGATGCTCACTTAAAAACAGTATGTCAAAAGAAAACAAGATTGACAAGTCCAGAAGTAAAGGCACTAGCAACTTTATTAAAGGCTTGAAATGATTTAGAGAGAGAGTGGGTTTCCATTTTCTCCTCCTCACGCCAGCAAGAGGACAAAAGGTGGTTCTTCTTGCAGGGTAAAGCTCCATGTACAAGCCAAGGTCAATAAAGATGAAAAAAAATAACAAGAACAAGACCAATATCCAACCATCTTGACTGAAACAAGCTAGAACAGTAAAGGTTTTATAATAATTTATTTATTCACCAAAAGACTTTTTCCTTGTGGAGGAAGCTAGAATGGGGACTGTACCCTGCAAACATCTTTGTTGTTCCAGTTGCCAATCATAACTTACAGTATATAAGATTTGCTTTACTTTGACCACTTGCAGAGGTCCAGCCATAAAAAGAAATATTCTAATAAAATCACCACATGTGTCTGTACAAGTCAAGTATTCTACAGCTCAATTCTACTTATCATAAGTCAATGTAATTTCTATAAGCATTAACCAGGAAGACCCAAACTTTAATGTCTCTATCACATTTCTAACATTGCTACAAACAATAAAAGTGCAAAACATTACTTCCTCTCAGCTTTTGCCCGTTGAAGCTTTGTCTCAGTTCGTACTATTTCATCACTTAGAGCTCCATTTTCCTGCATAACAGCAAGTACACAGTGACAATTAATCCTAAGTAAGCAAAATCCAATCTATTACGTTCCCTCAATCTATGACAAAATTAGAATCGGAAGACACCTTTACTCATTAAATTATTTAAGACCGTTATCACTTTATTTAACGTCTTCTTTCTTGATTTTCACCTCGGAAACTTTCATGCCAGATGCATGTTACATTTTAAAAACATAGAAAATGGTTTAAATTGCAATAGTTGAACTACAGCAAGCTATACCATTTATTAGCTAGTAGACCAATAATAATAATAATAATGATGATGATTTAAACTCATTTATTGTCTTGTATTAATAAAGAGCCTAAATTGATAAGATACTGTTAAGAATTAAATATACAATTAAAATCTATTGTTTCACATGAGAATTGTTACAGGCAAGCCAGGTCAAGCGTACCACCATAGATTCTATTAATGAATCAATCATTTGAAAAATGAATCCATTAGTCGTTGCTGCAAACAATATCATTTTCAAATCCCCATTCATGCATGCACAATGAGCAGTGAATTTTTCACAATAACAAGTCTTTGCAATTGGTCAGATTGAAAATCTTTGAATGCATAAAATTGGTTCAAAGACCTTTACATCAAAAAATGTTAGTGCAAGGAAACTGAACTGGTATAAATTTCATAACTACCTTGTGTGTAAATTCACTACTCATAATGTATGCAGGAATATTAAATGCAGAGATGAACCTGAAATCTACAACTTCTAACACATTCAACGTTTGAAAGATAACTTCATTAATGGAATTATCTTTGGGGGTACGCTTGACCTGGCTTGACTCTTAAATATTTTCAAAAGTGACTGACATACATGTAAGTTTCATGGCCCTGACATGTACAGTCTTTTTAATCATGTGGCAGAGCTGCGAATAACTGTTGCTTTAACTGGACAATGCATCATTTTGGAGATGGTTTAAATCTACATTGAGCACATGTGCATGGCCTTTGAGCAAGAAGGTCGAGCTACTTTGCGTACTTCAAGAAATAACTAGCTTTTCATTTATTATTTGTGATAATTATCTGTTGTAATCTTCTACACAATTATTTTGGTGCACTGCAAATAGCATTTTGGCTTACTCTATGTCTTGTTGTTGTTGTTGAATTTTCATACAAATGACGAAACATTTGTGCAGTGACTATAATGGCATTGGTGAATATTATGGCAGTAACAGGCTAGCATGATTGGAAAATCCTGCACAAAGCCTGCACATTTTTGCTTACATGTAAAAAGAGTAATGCATCCTTGTTTGAGCAAGGACAGATTTCTGTTTTGTCTACCAGACATACATGTATGTCCTTTTTACATTATTAAAGAATGCTTCACAGCTTTACTGCTGGATAATAAAATTATTGCAGCTCTGCCATAGTCATACAGCAGTGAAGCAGTGAAGCAGTGAAGCAGTGATGCCACAAGAGTGCAACCAGGAAGAAGATTTTTAAGTAAAAACTTTCTCATTCCATGATTTTGTTTATGAACCACATCAAGCGACATGTAACCAGCCACACCCCACACTCTATTCACCTAACAAAAATAGGAGAAAACTTCGCTACAGATTTTTCTCAAACAGCTAAAGGACTTGCATCTTCTCCTGTTAAACAAGTATGTAAAACAGTACCACTATATGCATGCAAAACAATGCAAAATAAAGCTATATTTACATCCAAATTTATAACCAAGTTAATTATTCAGCTTAAAATAGACTCTTAGCTTGATGTGACTGTGTTCCCCTAATTCCAAACGAAAATGCTTCTAAGCGGTTCAAACAATAATTATAATAATATTATCTGAAATCTTCTCTATTCAGTAAAACTTTCTTCTATAGTAATACTTTTTCCATGCCCACCATACACAATGTATGTAAATGTTCTGTTTTTGTTTTGCTTGCTTTTGTTTTTGGTTTCTTTTTACTTCACTGCGTACTGTAATTAGTGTATAAATTAGCTGTCTATTATCGTGCACATGTATTATACAAATTATACAAGATTATTTGTTTTCACTAAAGTTACTAAAAAGTTGATTAACCAAAAAAAATAGGAGAAATAAAAAACAATACATACAAACACCAGTTGTTTCACCATTCTTTTTATTCCAAGGTATTTCCTTTTGTAGTCAATAGGGTGTTTTGATGCTGAAGCTCTAACAGACTGCATGTGATCAACAGAGAACAAAATGGTGTTAAACAGCACCATGACATTAATATGCAACATGCAAATCTGTTACAAATGAGGTTACTACCTAATCCTTGGTCGGGGGAGGGGGTACTCCCTTATATAAGCCATGTGCTGACCCAAAGGGTATGGCTCTTGCCCGATTTTGGCCTGAAAATGGGTATAGACTTTGCCCATTTAGGTCTGGAATCGGGTGTGGTTTTCGAGGAAAACACAGGAATGTATGAACATATTTATCATTTCAGTTCCAAATAAGTAAGTAAAAAAGAGAAATGTGCAAATCCGCAATGGATTTTAAGAAATCTTTTTGTGTTGTTGTTCTAATCTAAGTAATGATGACATAATTTCTTATGGGCTAGGTCTGAAAAAGGGTGTGAAAAAAGACATTTTTTGGTCTGAAAAGAGGTGAGGATTTGGAGAACTGGGTGGGACACCACCCTCCAAATTATAGAAGAACTGTAATCAATCCGTTCATCAAAGTTTTTTTGGGCAAGTTGAAATGACTCTTGGGCTAGTACATGCTAGTTACAGTTTGCCTGAAGAACAAGCTTTAAAAATGACTGACTTTCTTTGCACCCTGCATTCCAACACTTTGACAACTACAATGTAGACAATGCTGTTTCGGTCCATTCAACTGGATAAACCTTTTCACAGGTTTCTATTACTGGACAAAGAAAGCTTCCCTAAGAATTGTAATAATATTATAGTATCACACAAATTTACTACCAAAGACATTTCATTTGAATGGTACCACTATAAGATTTCGTCCACAGATTTAAAACTTGAGAGTCAGATAACCTGGCCATAACATGGTCTAGCCGTTAAAGGATTAAGAAGCAAGTAATTGGTCATTTGAGATTATACTAAAATTTGACAGGCAATACCTGGTCATCTCCCTCGGCATTTTCATTATCCATGGACTCATCATCGTCATCATCATCAATGTCAGCTTCCTGTGTGATTAAAGGACCACGTCATACTTTGAATCTGAATCATAGCCAAAGTTTTTTTTATTACTTCTAAATGGCAAAATCAAGCATCATAACCAACATTTTTTTTTTCCTGAGGGCTATTTTGAACAGCAGACTTTTTTCCAAATCCACAGTTCAGAATACAGACCAAACTTTTCTCCTAGCCTTAATGAAATCCATTGATCCAAAATGCTGTTTTTGATTGAGAAGAAACTATTTAGCTTAGTTTACATGTGAAACCGTGACCTGTAATTGTGACCTGCAGAATATGTGATCCGTCAAATAAACATCTATTTTAAAAATTATGAAAAAAAAGACTCAACTTTGAAAAATTGAGGTTGAACAGTATCCAAAAACTACCATTACAATATATTGTTATTATCTTCGATCTTGACCATCCACATGTATACCATAATAATATTGCATTTGCTGAGGTACTCAAAGGTTGCCTTACTGTTTGGGGTGGGTATTACTGTTTGTTTATTTCACTCAATCTGGTGGCCAGATTTGCTTATTTTTCATCGAACAGCTCCTTTACAGTGCACATGGGGATATACACCTACTTATTCATAGTCATGAAGGTCTCACCATCAAAGCAAACCATCCAAAACGATTATCAATTCTTTTAAATCTGGATCCTTCACGGAAAGTCTACAAAAAAATTGTCAAAAGTAAGTGTTAGTACTAAGCGCTTTTGGTCCATTTTTTTTTCATGTTTTTCTTGTCTTGAGTTATTATTTTAATACAGTTAATGTGAACCACAGAGGCTCCTCAGAAGAGAGGTCTGGACACATCTACTTCTTGGAAGATAGATCAATGCATGCATATTCTAAAGCTGCAGTATGTGTATAGTTCCATGTTGTTGCTAAAAGTTCTTCATATACAGTACTCTAAGCAGCATAATACATGCAGCAAACATAGAGATCCCACCATGTGTCAAGTGGTAAATTACAAAAGGGTAAAAAGCTATAGAAAATTATTAAACCATCAGCACTGAAACAAGGTCCCAATCTCTTAAAACAGGTGGTTTGAGAAGTTCCAACCATGAGGTTTTGACTGGGAAAAGTTTGGTGTTTTGAATTGATGGTTGATCGTTTATGAAAGGTTGTCGCTTACAACAGGTGGAACTTGCACTTGGAGGTTCAACTGTAGTCACACAAAACAATTATTGTCAAAATGAGATACATGTACATGTAAACATCCTGTTTCTTTCTGACGTCGTGGCTCCTAAGTAAATACCAACTGACCTCACGATAGAGAATTGCTTCAAGACTGTTTAATGCCTTTGACCTGAAATTTTTAATCAAAGCAAACTACAATCAAAAATCTTGCACTCATGCACTTTACCGTTGTAATTGCCAAGAAAATGGAGGAATCATAATTGTCTGAGCTTAATCATTTAACTGCCATGAGAGCCATCAGTTCTAAGCCTTTCAGAAAAATCTGATGAATGATGCAAATATTAACATATTCATTTTTGAGTATGCCAGTAATTCATTAGAATACAAAAAAAATTGGACTACATGTATTTCTGAGTAGTCTAATTATTTTTGAGGTACTCAAATGTGGAAAAAGGGCTACATGAATAAGGCAGACATTATTACCCCATGGTTCATACAACTTCAGACAGAAAAAAATTTCAAGGACTTTTCAAGGATTTTTCAAGGACAAATTACAATTCTTAAGGACTAAGATTTATATAATAAATCAGTATTCTTTAACCCCCTTTTGATCACCCTATTGGCTTACACCAAGGATGAGCCAAATTTTCCTTGAGAAGCAAAATAATCTTATTTTACAGAAAGGGGTGGTTGGCATAGACAAGGTAGTGAATTTCAAGGGCTTTTTAAGACCTAATAAAGAAATCAAGTACTTTTCAAGGACCTTAACTGAATTCAAGGACTTTTCAAGATGACTAGTAAAATTCAATGATCTTTACAAGATTCTACGAACCATGTTACCCTTAAAGAAAATCAACAGTACACTGTCACAGAGAACACTAACCTGGGGGGAACAAGGCCACTTTCAACAATTCCATCACCAATATCTTTAACATGTAATTTTCCTCCATTCTGAAGTAAAATGCGCTGTTACAGAAAACAAAATAATTACATTACGGCTAATTATTGTACACATACAAAGCCGAACGCCACATTTCCTTACAAAAAGCCTGCTCAATCAAACAAAAATGTTATGAAAACAAAGAAAATGATGAACAAGTGAAGTTTCCTAGTAACCTGTAGGCTAATGGGGATGTGCCGCTGGATGGGATCATATTTTCACAACTGGATTGACTATAATGGGCCTGCATTTTTGTTAGAGTTACTAGAATGGGATTGGACATTAAATTTTTTCAGGTTTGAGGGATCAGAAAATTCAGGTAGGTAGGGTTTAAAAATGGGAAGATTTTAGTTCATTGAGTTTGGCCAATGTATCAATTCATTTTAGGATGATCAAGTTAAAAGGCTTTATAAGGTGGATGCATAAACAGAAATTACTAAATTGGGATCGCTAACATGGGGTTTACATTTGGCCACAGAATAGACTACACATATAACGGGGTAGGTGTTCTGAGAGGCCAGTGGCACATACCCAGCAAAAATTAACCCAAGCAACCCCCGTCAGGGTATGTCCTCAGAACTACATGTAGTGGACGAAGGCGAGAACATATTCAAAGCAGAAGGGGACATCATCGTTAGGATAAGCAGTGTTTTGACCTCTACAAACATTCGGTCAGGTGGATGTTATCAAAAAACAGTGAGCAAATAGATGCCATTAATCTTCTACCAAAGTTGTAAATACCACAAACTTTCGACAGATTCAACTGTCTTTAATTCTGGAAAGCAAAATTCTAAATCAAATAACATCAGAATTTATTTTGGGTAGACTTTTCGATCACATGCTAGGCAACAAAAATAGACCAAGAGATCTGGATGTTCACTTCAAACCAACTCAGGGCATGCAAAACATATTCACAAAATAAATATGAGCAAAATCTCTCTGGCTGAGTCTGTTTGGGCCTAAAGGGAAGTAACACTGAGAAACCAACCCTTTTTTGACATTTTTTTTTCAACAATTTAATCTTTGCCTACACTCAGTGCACTCAGGGTGCAAAGAAAGTCAGTTTTACAGCCTGCCATCCGGGCAAGCTGTAGCAACTTTCTTTGCACGCTGGCACTGTAATGAAAGAAATGGACACCCAAAGTTACTTTATCCAGGAAATTAAATTTGAGGATCTCTGAACGACACTGAGAGTGATACCATGCATTAAGCTAAGAAAAACTGCAGGCACACCAAAAAGCTAAGAACTTATGGAGTCTGTCTACTTACGCTAACATTCTCTTTATTATTCATAGTTGTGAATTATTTTGGCTGGGAGACAAAGGAAATAATCAAAAATCAACCTAGGGTGAAACCAGTTTAAACTGAATTTCATTTTGACCTATAGTATAACATAAATTATACCAAAGCAATTAATACATTGAATTACCTCTGACAACTCCAAAAGGGTCTTTTCCATTAATTCTGCATTAGATGTTTCAGTTGTATCACAACTAACAACAGAAAAAAAAATCAATTATATTTGCCGACATTTTTTTTTTTTTGGATTCAGCATGTAAATAACAAAGTCACGAAAGCAATATATCACTCAGATTTCTCTGTCAAACAACACTTAAAAAAAAACATGTCAAACAATTAATAGAGGGTATACAGAGGCCACACACTTCGTTAAAAACTGTTATACACAGGAACCAGAAACAGTTACAAAATTCTTGAACAAGTTAAACTGGATACTACTGGAGGAATAAAGAATAATCTCATGGTTAACCTTATTCCACAAAGCAATTCATGATGATAGCAGCCTGGCTTTCGCAGACTATGTTATGAAGCCTAGAGGACATTTATGAAGTTTAGCCAGAACGAGTTTTTTGAACTGCTACCAAATACTGAGAACATATAAGAATAGCTATTTCTATACAACTGTCAAGGACTGGAATGCGTTACCAAGCGAAACTGTTAACAGTAACTCACCTGGTAAGTCCACTGATCGATTCAAAAATTTCTTATTTGAGTATTTTAGTGATTAATATTGTAATGCTGTAAATACTTTTGTCCATTTTATCTATTGTAGGAGATTTTGTTATCATCATTATCATTATCATTATCATTATTGAATTTTTAATTTAATTTTTTAATTTTTTTAATTTAATTTTTATTTATTTGATACTTAAAAGTCTTGCATGTTGGCATCCCCATTGCAGGACCAGTAAAGGTTCAACCTTTATTCAAACTTTATTCAAAAATTTCTAGTCTTGCAATAGGGGTGCCATCACGCAAGACGTCTACATAATTAAATATAATTAAGTTAATAATAATAGAAGTAATAACAAAAATTAATCTCCTCCAAAAGTTAAAATGAATAAAAATATTCATAGCATTAATTACTGTACAATTTTAAAATTCTTCATTGACTGAAATGCTCAAATAAGACCTTTTTTTAATCGATATCAGGTTTAATAAGGGTTTGAAATGGAAAGTATCAAACTCGTCATTTTACGCGTGTACTTGCTTGAATTGTATATATAGAGTGAGGATGCCCTTAGAGTAACGAAAGCCTGATTATCAACTGAAACACGACTAAACTAAACTAGGTGGTAAGACAGCTGGACGACGGGACGTTTTATACCTCAAACAGCTGATAGCCTAGGGAATAGTTTACCGACTCGGACACTGCGCTATACAACTTTGGGTGCACTCTGTGATTAGTTTCGAGTAACCGCACTACTTACTATTCCGATTCGTCGTCCTCTGGCTGTTCTTCGACCTCTTCCGAAGTGATACCAGATGTTGACAACCCGCCCGTGTCCAGAGAAGGAAATAAAGACGACGAGCCTATGTCCTCAGAACTAGCGGACGAAGGCGAGAACATATTCAGAGCAGAAGGGGATATCATTGTTGAGATAAGCAGTGTTTTGACCACTACACAAGGCCACAAAATACAATGACTGCACAAAAACGAATGAAAACAAACTCATTCATGGGCGCCATGTTCAGGAAGGAAAGGCGTGGATACTAAGCGCGGGTTGGGGAAACTGGTGACGAGTATCGGTGGTCAAAGTCAAACGATTTGCAAGCAATTTGAAGGGATACCTGAGTGTGACTTGAAAAGCGGTTTTTATTTTGTTAAAAATTGGAGTTTGTTTTGCACTGACAAAAGTTTAAGATATTACCGGCGCTGTTAATTTACTAAACCTTTGGAAAATTTACTAAAAAAGTTCTCTGACTAAGTGATTGAAAAATTGTCGACGCCATTTTTCAGCATGATTTTGCTCGCGAAATTTAGGGTGGAAGCGGGTTTCGAAAAATAAGCTAATTTAATACTTCGAGAAAAGAAAAGATAGTTTCGTAGACAAATTATTTCGATATACTTTAGCTTACATATTTTTCCACCAACTGGTAAATGATTTGATATTTTTTTAAAAAAAAACAAAATTGCAAGTTAAATTAAGTAAATTAAAGTTTGGCTTAATAAGTCTATCGAAAAAGCCGGATTTATACTCGCCTTTTGGGTCTTTTGTAAGGACGCGAAGTGTATGGTTAATTGCATGCCATACTGTCGGAACATAACAACCAATAAAATAATGATAAAGGCAGCAGCCGGAATATTCATACTGAGTGAATCAGCCATATTAACCACACGAGGAACAAACCCAACTGCCCATGAGTGATGTCCTCGTTTCTAGAGAAATAGAAATGTATCAAGATTGTTGGTACGAACGGAGTGACGTGTTCGTCAAGCTTACTGAGGAGTGGTTAGCTGTTGTAAGAAGGATATAACGTACACTGACGTTGATATGGCTCGACACTGAGGAAATGCTAAAAAGGTTTAAAATTGTAAGTTATGATGGGTGGTTTTTTATCTCAGACAAAACTAAATAATAAAAGCAGTTATGGCTGGCAGAACACAAAGTAATTTTTGGGCATCTTTTGGAGTTTTTTGAGTGTCTGGTATAGATTTTTGGCATTGCTTACTCAGTGTGTCATAAAGCTTCAAAATGCCCGCCAATCGCAACTTATAATGGAAAAACTGCAGACAACAGGCGCAAATTAGATACATCTATTTATCTATTACTCATTCTGATTCACTTATTTGTTTATTTATTTCACAAATTTCAGTTAACAAAATTAAAGTAGTGATCAAAATTTGAAGTGTATGCCAAACCTCCGTCTCAATGGATAAAACTCGTTAGCTACAGAAACAAAGCTCCAGCAGCTCCGGCCCACGCGCGTTAGGAAATAATCTTTCAGGAGAGTATAATAATGACAATTTTCATGAGTTTTTTCGCTTATTTCTATGGGTTTGTTCTCAGACAACATTTGGGCAGCACAAGGACGATATCGCTGAACCCTTTTATTAAAATAAGAAGGTTTTCTCTCCCCTTTTAATTGTAATTGTATAATGCCTCCAATGTTTAGCAAATGTCTGTTAACTTAGTGATGACAATCATTTTCTACGTTCACGAAAAATAAAGTTAAGGGAGCAAAAATCCTCTAATGAAACTGAACTTCCACAGAGTTCGAGCTAGCCGTGGTTTTAGTGTACTTCACTCATTCTAACATTATATGTGCAAAAAACATCAATGCCGATCCTCTACTAAATCATAATCAATTGCCCATTTAAATGTATTCAACAACTCCCTTATCAAAATTTGATCCTTTAATTATTTTTCCAGAAAAAAGAACAGCACGGAAATTAAGAAAAAAATAAACAATGAAAGGATTCAAGTTGACCTCTAAGAGAGAATGATAACTTCATTCACCGACACAGTTGAGAATTAAGAAACCTCGTAGTCCTAGATATGTGATTCTCAGAGGCGAATATTCAGAACTTAAAATTTTCTGCAACGATAATTACCTTTTGATCCATTAAGTTCGATATTTTGGCCATTGTAATGTTTCAGAATCATTTAGATAAAATAATTTTGTTTTTCACAAATACTGAATTGATCATTCGCATACCCTAGCATAAAAGAGCTTCCGATCACTTCATTAAAGAGAGAGATCGCGATCACTGCTCCATCGGAAAAACACACAAAATAATGCTTGAATCAAGTAGGTTTTATTTTCGTAACGTGTTGATTATATTTGCATTTCAGTTATAAAGAAATGTTTGCGACTCGGATTCGTATCAATATTGACAAAATGGCCTCAAAAACTTTTGCCAGTAAAGTTATCATGTCATCCCTCGACGCGAGCTTAACTTTGGTTTCAATAATCGGCAATGGATCTTTCATCGCAATTTTTGTCCGATTTAAGAATCTTCGAAATTTTCCGAACATTCTTTTCGCTAATCTTGCGGTGGTAGACTTTCTCAACGCAGTCATTAATATCCCGCTATATCTTTTTTCCTTCGTCTGGGAAACCAGCTGGATGAGAGGAAAAACTTTGGCCGTTATTTCAACTTCGTTACACTTGGAGTTTGTTTTGCTTAACATGGTTTCCATGTTTGCAATTATGCTGGACAGATTCCTGGCCCTGCACTTAAGTCTAAAGTACTATACATGGAAGACAACAAGTAAAGCTTATGTAGTAGTGGTCCTCATTTGGTTGATCTGTACCGTCCTCACTGCGTTATCTACAATTTCTCTGCTGCAAATGCATATGGAAGCTGACACAACGATGGCAGAGGCTAGGGAGAAAATTTTTCAACAGAGAAAAGAGATAACTGCATCTACTATGGCCGTATTCATGGCAGCCTCAACAGTCCTTGGAGTCTTGACGGGTTACACCATATACCAAAATAAGAAAAAGGTAGGAAAAATAGTAAGATTAAGGATATGTTCGAGAACACTACAGTAAAACGCCGCGAAGAAGAACCTAGATTTTTTGAAGTTTGGCAAAATTTGGAGTACTTATTGGAAGTTTAGTTTAAATAGGTTCTTAATTTTTATGAAGAAGTATACTGTTGTTTATTACAAGAAATTGGTATAAATGGTATTTGTCCTTCATAATAGGCATTTATTTACCAAAAATCTGTAAGATATTAATTTAATAAGCCAGACTTTTGGTCAAAATGTTTATGAAAATGCAGTCTAATATAACCCCACATATAAGAACCTGTTGATTTTTCTTGGCTAAACTGGTTCTTGTATTTTGGAGTATTAAAATGAAAAATTTCTGCTAACAGGTTCTTAAATGCTAGGTTCTTCTTGGCGACGTTTTACTGTATACCATATAGTTTATTTTCGTGCTGTCACAAAAAGGTATCCAGTATAGTATAAACACCTAATCTGATATGTCACTCTCCACTTTAGAGATCGGCGCGGAGCAGTACGTTTCGCTCCTTTACAGAAATCGTTCCGAAGGCACCGTTGTTGTGTGTGAAACGAAGCCTTATCCGACAGGCCCGTAGCAAGCATAAAATGACTGCGGGGGGGGGGAGATTGAGCAAGTGGCCCACATTAATTCCCCCCTCCCCTTTGCTCCCTCCGTTAAAGCATACTTCTTGGTACATGTCAGATCACTACATTTGCCTACAATACCTTTTGTTCTTGTCTCTAATTTTCCGTTTGTGTTGACTTTGACGAGATAGAGAACTTGTTTGGGATATCGTTCACGGAGCATTTGCCAAACAATTGCTTTCGGTTTTCTTTCTCCCCATCGTAGTCATTAGCTACGTCTACAAGGGTCAGAGCATCGTTCTGTTCTGTCCTTGTGAACATGCAACATCATGAGGTCGTTCAGGTGGGATTGTCATTGGTGCATTTCGATCCATTTTGCTTCTGAGTATTTTGATGCTTAATAAGCAGATATTTTAAAGCCGTTAATTGTTTTTACACAATTCCAAATTGCCCAGAAGAACAACAGTGCATTATCTTAATATCATCGACAATCCTTTGAAACTTTAGCTTCAATTGACAGCAGTCCACTTTAGTAGAAAAATTCCACTTTTGTAGCAGAATTTAATTCAAGTATGAAAATTTCTGGGGGGGCTCGAGCCCCCCCTGCCCCTCCCCCTGCTACGGGCCTGTCCGATATGGTCTTCGTGTCGGCACAAAAGGTGTCCGACGTAGTGTGAACATCGCCTAAATTCTTAAAATCTGTGGCAAACTTTAGGCGCAGCTGCGCTGTTAAAGGTTAGTATAAAATTGCTTTTTAAATATACGTGTGGTAATAAACCCTTCACAATCCAGATTTTAAAATTTCATAATCAAATACTTTCCCTTTCTTGTAGAGAATGCAGTTGAATTTACCAAAGCTCCAAGCTGAAGGTCGGGAAAAGCAGGATATCAAAGCCACCGTGACTGTTGCTGTGGCTGTGGTGACGTTCTATGCCTGCTACTTACCAGCAATTACCTACTCAGTCTGGAGAAGTAACACAAAATACTTCAGGAAACACGTTTGGGTTTCCTTTTTGGTTGCTTTTTGTACGTTTATTTCAAGCGCTACCAACCCTCTCATCTACGTATTACGAAACAAAAGATACCGCAAAGCCATCAGGCAACTGGTAAAAGATCCTTTTGGGAGCAGCTCGTTTCAAGAGAAGCCAATCAAAAATGACAGGAGAGAGAAGAGACGCCGTCCAGAGCACGTATTGAAGCTGAGCAAAGGCGAAGAACCAGGAGTATCCACCGTACATGAAGAAACTCATGAGAGAGGCGTCGGAGATGGAAATTTTGCGACAGGCCAAATGTTCCTGGCTGACAAAATAGTGAAAATAGCTTGGAAGGCGAAGAGTAGTGAAACCTCTCAGAAGATCAGGCCTGCAGAAGAAGATCAGGACGGTAGAGGATGAATGCAGGGGCGTAGCTACCTGTACGAACGCTACGCACGTGCGTACCTTAAAAATCGAGGCGGAGTTAAATAAAAGCCTGAGATAAATCTAGCCTTTTCACTTAATTTGTAAGTAAGTGACGATTGATGTGCGACAAAAAATTTTACAACTTGCTCAAGATATTTAGTATCCCTTAGGTGTCGAACGTAACATCACCTCAGATTTTGGGCTTTAAAAGGGGAAGGGGCGGGGAAGGGGGGGTGGGGGGGTAAGGGGTTAAAAAAATTGTGCATACCTCTGGAAAAATCCTGCCTACGCCCCTGGAATGGGTAGAGAAATAACACTTTTGACCGTCAAGAGACCCGTGAGCTCCATCTTTGGCATGTTATACCCAAGGTTCCGGTTTTCAGAATTTTTTTGTTTCAAAACGAGTGACTTAAAGCGGCGTTTTTCTTCAGTAAAACTTTTAAGACGAGACAAGGCTTCTTAGCAATCTCGCATCGTTTCTTCATTTCCATCAGTCAGGTCAAACAGCAAAAACGATTGCAACGTTTAATTAAGGAAGGATTTTGTGACCTCTGAAAAATATTTCGTTGACCGAACAAATCCTCGATTTATAAGAATGTCAGTTGTGAGAGTTAAATCCTACATAAGAACTACGGAAATGAAATCAAACGAAGAATGATCCTCGCAGTTGTGAACGCAGTTTATGCAATTGGGTAAGAAAGCTGGAATAACCGCCTTGAAGTCCTGAATTTTTTAGCCATCTTACGCAATTGCGTCTGAAATTACGTTCACAACTGCGAGAATCATTCTTGATTTGATATCATTTCCGCAAGTCTTAGATGATTTATTTCATTTTAGGCCTAGGCCAAACGTCCAACTTTTCATGAGACGAGGCGAATCCCGGGGGGATACTGCCACATATAGGCTATAAGGTATGTGCTGCTGGGAAGGGTATGGTTTTCAAGCTGTTTACTCTAGGATAGGGTATATAAATCAGAGCGTTTGGATCTAGAATAGGGAATCATTTTTCATAAAACTGATCAGTTGGTTGAAGATTTTATCTAGACTAGGGATTGTGGTATAAGGTTTTGTTTTGGCTAGACTGTGCTAGTGGCCTCAGCTGAGTTTCTGGAAAACAGCTACTCTAGGATAGGGGGGATTAGGGGAGTTTACTCTAGTATTGGGTAGCAAAATTCAGCTGAACTAGCTCTGGTATAGGTTAAGGTTCCAGGGTCCCAGCGGCACATCCCCACCCAGAAACTCCTAAAGTACCCCCCCCCCCCGGGGGGACGAACCAAACTTAGTGAGTCATGTTCATGAAAAGTTCGACGTCTGGCTTCGCAGGCTAAATTAAGTTCGTCTGGATGAGTTTGGATCAGACGGATAGAACTTCTGAAGATCACCTGCAGGACAAACGTCGATCTTCACATGCGACGAACTAAACAAATAAGCTTCGTCCGGCTAAAATTACCTTTTGGTCTGATTCATGATCAGTTGATTGGTTTGACGCGTCCCAAGCTCGAGGTCTGACCCAACCACAGGGTTTCCACAGAACTTGTTAGTGTAACCCGGCGATGTGTGCAGAAGAACCCCGGTAACTCGAACTCTGAAGGGAAACGAAAAACAGCTCGAGTTATCGGGGTAGATTTCAGTGACATTTGGATCAAGGGAAAGGAAATTTAGTTAGAGTTAGTGGGCTATTCGAGTTATCCGAGTTCGAGTTATTGAGGTTCTAACTGTATTTTTATGGCAATAAATCAGTACTGGATTCTGTGGATTTACCGTTTGCTCAATCTGTAGCGGTATTTCGCTAAATATGTGCATTATCAAAGCTAAATAAACTTGTGTTACCTTAGCTTCGGTAAATTGTCGTCCTTTTGCCTCAGAGGGGTATTTTGAGCGATTTTGAAGGATTTTGAGTTCGCTAGTACGTTTACAGTTCCTCTTAATGGAGGAACAAGGGTGGAATCAATAATTAGCTATTTGAAGGGCACTAGCGCCGGAGCGATTTTCCACCAGAAAATCGCATCGCTCCGCTTTCAAACCAGGTAGCAGAAAGCTCCAAAGATTCATGCTTCTTCTACACCTTCCGATGGAAATTCCATCCATTTTAACCTTTGAAAGACTGGGAGTTTTTGAATTTTTTTCGAAGGCTAGCTCGGACCTTTTGCATGGATTTTCGATCGGAAAGGTCCTACGAGAAGCGTGAATCTTTCTCGGCGAGCTTTTTGCTCACAGTTTGAAAGCGGAGCGATGCGGTTTTCTGGTGGAAAATCGATCCGTGTCGTTCAAAAAATTGATTCCACCCTTGTCCTCCTATTAAGAGGAACAGTGAACAGAGAACTCAGAATCGCTCAAAATACCACTTCTGAGACTAAAGGACGACTATTTACGGTGGGTAAGGTAAGTAAACTAAACGTTTATTTAACATTGATCCATGCACATATCTAGCGATAAACTCCTACAGATGAAGCAATTTAATGGTAAATCCAGTACATTTACCATAAAATTACATCGGCTACATGAACAGATTGTATGGGTGCCCTGTGACCCAAGAGACGATCAGGTCGACCCAAATTGGAGTTTCGTTCGTCTCATGAAAAGTTCCACGTCTGGCCTAGGCCTTAGTCTTCTGGTTGCTTCCAGACATGACTGTCTTAACAGCTGGCTGATTCCCAAAAGCAATAGAATCGATTACAAAATCATTGTTTTGCTAATTTATTTGAAAGCAGTTTTTATAACAAGTGGAAAAAATTATTTTCCCTTGAACTTGAAGAGGAAATGTAATTATTTTTGGCAATTAATCACAGCAACTCAGTTTGCCTGTCAAATTTGTCAGCTCTGATTGTTTTCTGCCAGTTTCATGTATTTTAATTATATTCGTACTTTTCCAGACATTTAGAATCATTTCAGTTGTTTTATTTTCCTTTTCCTTATGTTAAAAGTGTTTTTCAGCATGGCTCGTTTACAATAGACCCCTCCGCGTTTTTCGTTAAGTTTTAATAAGTATTAGTTAGCAAAATCCATCGCCACCGTTGGAGAAGGGTGCCGTGAAAATAGTAAAATTGCCAACTTTGAAAGTGATACGTCTTAAAGGGTGAAGATATATCTCCACAGAATGCGAAAATTCACAGCCGTTTATGGTGGAGGGGAAGTAGGGAGCGCGGAGAAGGGGGGGAACCCCCCATCACCATGTCTATACAAACGTCGGTAAATTTTCGCGACTTTTTATCTTCGTTATTATTAAACAAATCACTTTCAAACTTGGCGATTCTACTATTTTAAAGGCGCTCTATCCCAACCTCGTCCCCAGGGCGCTTTTCCCTGGCTTTGGGTCAGGGAAGAGCGCCCTGGGGACGAGGTTGGCTCTATCCAACTGGTCCACATTACAAGTTGAAAAAAACTCCTGGAAGGGTCTTCCAACAATTCAAGCCCCAGCAGCTCCCACGGTAGTACGTTAGGAAACAATCTTTCAGGAGAGTATATAATAATGACAATCGCTTATTTCTATGCTTCTGTTCTCAGACAACCTTTGGGCAGCACAAGGACGATATCGCTGAGCCCTATTAAAAAGGTTTTCTCTCCCTTTTTTAATTATTACGGCTTAATTGTATACCAAGCCTCCAATGTTTAGCAAATGTCTGTTAACTTGATGACAATCATGTTTTACGGTCACAAAGTATAAAGCTAAGGCGGTAAAATCCCCCTAATTAAACTGAACTTCAACTGAGTTCGAGTTATAACGTGGTTTTAGTGTATTTCACTTAATTCTAGCTATATCCGCAAACAACATCAATGCCGATCCTCTACTTCTGAATCATAATCAGCTGCCCATTTATAAAAATGTATTCAACAACTCCTTTATCAAAAATTGATCCTTTAATTATTTTTCCAGACAACAAGAACAGCACGGAAATAAAGAAAAAATACACAACGAAAGGACTCAAGTTGACGTCTATATCTAAGAGAAAAATTATTACAAGTTCACTCACCGTCACAGTTGCGAAGAAACCTCGTGGCTTAATGTTTTAGATATCTGATTTTCAGAGGCGCATATTCTAAGCTGAAAATTTTCTGCAACTGTAATTACCTTTAACTAGGCATTTTTGATTCATTAAGTTTGATATTTTGGTCATTGTTTTAGAATCTTTTAGATAAAGTCATTATTTTGTTTTTCACAATTACTGAATTGATCTTTCGCATACCCTAACATAAAAGGGCTTCCGATCCCTTCATTAAAAAGAGATATCGAGATCACACTCCACCGGAAAAAACACACAATAAGGCTTCAATCAAGTAGGTTCTATTTTTTAACATGTTCATTTGTATTTTATAAAAAAGTGCTTGCGACTCGGATTCGTATCAATATTGACAAAATGGCCTCAAAAACTTTTGCCAGTAAAGTTATCATGTCATCCCTGGACTCGAGCTTAACTTTGGTTTCAATAATCGGCAATGGATCTTTCATGGCAATTTTTGTCCGATTTAAGAATCTTCGCAATTTTCCGAACATTCTTTTCGTTAATCTTGCGGTGGTAGACTTTCTCAACGCAGTCATTAATATCCCGCTATATCTTTTTTCCTTCGTCTGGGAAACCAGCTGGATGAGAGGAAAAACTTTGGCCGTTATTTCATCCTCGTTACACTTGGAATTTGTTTTGCTTAACATGGTCTCCATGTTTGCAATTATGCTGGACAGATTCCTGGCCCTGCGCTTTAGTCTAAAGTACTATACATGGAAGACAACAAGTAAAGCTTGTGCAGCTGTGGTCCTCATTTGGTTGATCTGTACCGTCCCCACTGCCTTATCTACAATTTCTTTGCTGCAAATGGATATGGAAGCTGACACAACGATGGCAGAGGCTAGGGAGAAAATTTTTCAACACAGAAAAGAGATAACTGCATCTACCATGGCCGTATTCATGGCAGCCTCAACAGTCCTTGGAGCCTTGACCGGTTACACAATTTACCGAAATAAGAAAAAGGTAGGAAAAATAGATTACGTGTAAGGATATAATTGTGAACACTACAGTAAAACGCCGCGAAGAAGAACCTAGATTTTTTGAAGTTTGGCAAAATAGATTCTTATAGTTTGGGCACTTATTGGAAGTTTAGGTTAAATAGGTTCTTTATTTTTATGAAGAAGGATACTGTTGTTGATTACAAGAAACTGCTATAAATGGTGTTTGTCCTTCATAACAGGCATTTATTTGCCAAAAATCTAGAAGATATGCAGTTTTCAACAACGGTTGTATACATTATACATACATTTATTACATAATGACTTTGTAATATAAACTTCCCATATTTAAGCCAGACTTTTCGTCAAAATGTTTATGAAAATGTAGTCTAACCCCACATATAAGAACCTTTTGATTTTTCTTGGCTAAACTGGTTCTTATATTTTGGAGTATCAAAATGACAAATTTCTGCCAGCAGGTTCCAGAGGTTCTTAAATCCTAGGTTCTTCTGCGTGCCGACACAAAAAGCAATCTAGTATAGTATAAACACCTAATCTGATATGTGACTGTCCACTTTAGAGATCGGCGCGGAGCAGTTTCGCTCCGTTACAGAAATCGTTCCGAAGGCACCGTCATGTGTGTCAACCGAAGGCCTATCCGATATGGTCTTCGTGCCGGCACAAAAGTTATCCGATATTGTGTAAACATCGCCTAAATTAAAATCTGTGGCAAACTTTAGGCGCAGCTGCGCTGTTAAACGGTAGTATAAAATTGCTTTTTAAATATACGTGTGGTAATAAACCCTTCACAATCCAGATTTTAAAATTTCATAATCAAATACTTTCCCTTTTCTTGTAGAGAATGCAGTTGAATTTACCAAAGCTCCAAGCTGAAGGTCGGGAAAAGCAGGATATCAAAGCCACCGTGACTGTTGCTATGGCTGTGGTAACGTTCTATGCCTGCTACTTACCAGCAATTACCTACTCAGTCTGGAGAAGTAACACAAAATACTTCACGAAACACGTTTGGGTTTCCTTTTTGGTTGCTTTTTGTACGTTTATTTCAAGCGCTTCCAACCCTGTCATCTACGTATTACGAAACAATAGATACCGCAAAGCCATCAGGCAACTGGTAAAAGATCCTTTTGGGAGCAGCTCGTTTCAAGAGAAGCCAGTCAAAAATAACAGGGGAGAGAAGAGAAGTCCAGAGCATGTATCGAAGCTGAGCAAAGGCGAAGAACCAGGAGTATCCACCGTACATGACGAAACTCATAATAGAGGCGTCGGACTCAAGTAGATTAAGGCCTGGGTCATTACAGAGTTTTCAGAATTGTTAAAGGGGGTGGTATAACGTAAAGTATTTTCAAGACATCCCATGACTAACAATTTAAGGCCAATCATAACCAAAAAATCTTTCAATTTCATTTTAAAAATTGTTTTTAACTGCATCACGTGACCAGCCACGCCCTGTTTCATCGAGAAATCCTTTGAGTGGAAATTCCCACCAGAAAGAGAGTAAACCGTTTTCCTTCAGTAGGTCCAAAAAGTGGCTACTAACAGTCTTCATGTTAAAACAATCGGAATGAGGCAAGGTCAATAAACGTCTTTCTTCTGTCGATAGTTTTAGTTGGAGGAGGAGTGGCACTAGTCAGTTAACACCAATGGCACCTGCCAATTGTAATGCTTTGAACCATTCCGACCTGACTTCGTAGAGACTTTGTAGGGTCAATGTTTTGATGCAGAGAAACTGGAGCTACTTGTTTGGCAAGTGGTGGGAATCGTTGGTTACAATTTTCGAACAATGGAGGGCGTGGTCGATCACGTGACCGAATAATTTAAATTTATTTTTTCAAGTTTTAAAGTTTAGTTTACCTCACCATATATCGTCCCTTGTGGATGTCTTTAACCATAGTTTTTAGAAACTGTACATAAAAACCATAAATGACTTAGACCCGGGCCTTAATCTACCTGAGGAGATGGACATTTTGCGACAAGTCAAATGGTCTTGGCTGACAAAATAGTGAAAATAGCGTGGAAGGAAAGCGAAGAGTGAAACCGCTCAGAAGATCAGGCCTAAAAAAGAAGAAGATCAGGACGGTAGAGGATGAATGCAGAGGCGTAGCTACCTGTAGTCACGCTAGGCACGTGCGTACCTTAAAAAATCGAGGGTTAAATAAAAGTCTGAGATAAATCTAGCCGTTTCACTTAATTTGTGAGTAAGTGGCGATTGATGTGCGACAAAAAATGTTACAACTTACTCAAGATATTTAGTATCCTTCAACATCACCTCAGATTTGGGACTTTAAAAGTGGAAGGGGGGCAGGGGGGTAAAAAAATTGTGCGTACCTCTGGAAATATCCTGGCTACGTCCCTGGAATGGGTAGAGAAATAACACTTTTGACCGTCAAGAGACCCGTGATCTCTATCTTTGGCATGTTATATATACCCACGGTTCCATTCTTAAGAGAGTTTCTTGTTTCCAAACGAGTGACTCAAAGCGGCGTTTTTCTTCAGTAAAGCTTTTAAGACGAGACAAGGCTCCTTAGCAATCTCGCATCGTTTCTTCATTTTCATAAGTCAGGTCAAACAGCAAAAACGACTGCAACGTTTAATTACTGGAACGATTTTGTGACCTCTGGAAAATGATTTCGTTGACCGAACAAATCCGCGATTTAGAAGAATGTCAGTTGTGAGGTTTAAATCCTGTATAAGAACTACGGAAATGAAATCAAATGAGGAATGATTCTCGCAGTTGTGAACGCAATTAATGCAATTGCGTAAGAAAGCTGGAATAACTCCCTTGAAGTCCTGAATTTTTTTTAGCCATCTTTCGCAATTGCGTCTGAAATTGCGTTCACAACTGCGAGAATCATTCTTGATTTGATTTCATTTCCGCAAGTCTTATATGATTTATTTCATTTACATCTCACAGTAGTTGATGTTAGGCCTAGGCCAAACGTCGAACTTTTCATCAGACGAACCAAACTTAGTGAGTCACGTTCATGAAAAATTCGACGTCAGGCTAAATTAAGTTCGTCTGGATGAGTTTGGTCAGACGGATCGAACCTCTGAAGATCTCCTCCAGGACAAACGTCGATCTTTATCCATTTTGACCGTTGAAAGACTGGGGCTTTTCGGCTAGCTCCGGGCTTTTTGATGGATGTTCGATCAGAAAGGTACTAGAAGAAGCGTCAATCTTTCGAGCTTTCTGCTCATGGTTTGAAAGCGGAGCGATGTGGTTTTAAATCGCTCCGAAGCTGGTGCCGTTCAAAAAATTGATTCCATCCATGTCCTTCTATTAACAGGAACATTAAACAGCGAACTCAAAATCGATCAAAATACCTCTTCTGAGACTAAAGGACGACTGTTTACGGTAGGTAAGGTAACAAAACGTTTATTTAACATTGATCCATGCACATATCTAGCGATAAACTCCTACAGATGAAGCAATTTAATGGTAAATCCAGTACATTTACCATAAAATTACATCGGCTACATGAACAGATTGTGTGGAAGCCCTGCGACCCAAGAGACGATCAGGTCGACCCAAATTGGAGTTTCGTTCGTCTCATGAAAAGTTCCACGACTGGCCTAAGCCTTAGTCATCAGTTTGCTTCCTACATGACTGGCTTAACGGCTGGCTGATTCCCAAACGCAATAGTGATCGATTACAAAATCATTGTTTTGCTAATTTATCTAGTAGTTTCCTTTCCGTTTATCTGAAAGCTGTTTTTATACAAGTGGAACAAATCATTTTCCCGTGAACTTAAAAACGAAATGTAATTATTTTTGGCAAAATCACAGCAACTCAGTTTGCTAGTCAAATTTGTCAGCTCTGATTACGAAGTTATCTGCTTTCATGGATTTTAATTATATTCGTACTTTTCCAGACATTTAGAATCATTTCAGTTGTTTTATTTGGTATATTATTTTCCTTTTCTTTATGTTAAAAGTGTTTTTCAGCATGGCTCGTCCACATTAGACCCCTCCACGTTTTTCGTTAAGTTTTAATAAATATTAGTTAGCAAAATCCATCGCCACCGTTGGGAAGGCCACCGTGAAAATAATAAACTTGCCAAGTTTGATAGTGATACGTCTTAAACGGGTGAAGATATCGCTCCACAGTGTGCGAAAATTCACAGCCGTTTATGGTGGAGGGGAAGGAGGGAGCGGGCAGAAGGGGGGGAGGTGCCTCCACCACCATGTCCATACAAACGTCGGTAAATTTTCGCGACTTTTTATCTTCGCTATTATTAAAGAAATCACTTTCAAACTTGGCGATTCTACTACTTGGTCCATGTCACAAGCTGAAAAAAAACCGTGAGAGGGTCTTCCAACAATTCATTTTCGTATACAGTGAAGCTATGAAATTTCATTCTTGGCTGAAAAACTCAATTTCATTTGCCAGTCAAGCCAATGAACTTATCATGACTTATCGTTTCTAACCAGCACACTGTTGTCACTTGTTTAAAAAATCAATTAGTCTTCTTCCGCGAGTGTTACAATACGAAGCCCATTTTCTTATTTTACTAGTTGGCTCACAAGACCAATGTATAACAAGAATACACAATGGTTTATTAAACGTACTTTTCGTTCCTTTATGTCACTACCTACCCATTATCTATACATGATAATTAATATTTTTGTATCAAATTAAGTCAAGTGTTGTCGACCCATTTATAAAAATATTCAGCGTCAGGTCTTTAGCGGCCGTATATCAATATTAGCAAAATGGCTTCACGAACTTTAGCCAGTAAAATTCTCATGACTTCTCTGGAAGCGAGTTTATCCCTGGTTTCAACGATCGGCAATGGATCCTTCATCGCAATTTTTGCACGCTTCAAGAATCTTCGCAGTTTTCCTAATATTCTCTTTGTTAACCTCGCGGCAGTTGACTTTCTCAACGCAGTCATTAATATCCCGCTGCACGCTTTGACCAACGTCTGGGAACCCAGCTGGATGAGAGGAAAAACTTTGGCTATCACTATAAGCTCATTACACCTGGAATTTTCTTTACTTAACATGGTTTCCATGTTTGCAATTATGCTGGACAGGTTCGGAGCACTATACCTTGATCTTAAGTACTATACATGGAAGACAACAAGGAAAGCTTATGTAGCTGTGGTCCTCGTTTGGCTGATCTGTACAGTACCAGTTGCTTTATCGACGATTCCTTTGCTGCAAATGGATATGGAAGCTGACAAAACGTTGGCGGAGTCTCGAGGGAAAGTTTTCCAACACAGGAAAAATGCTATGGCATCTACCATGGCATTCTTCATAGCAGCCTCGACAGCCCTTGGCATTTTAACTGGTAACACTATTCTTCGAAAAAAGAAACAGGTAGGAAATAAATTAATGTCTATTTTTTGACCTCTAAAACATAACCTATATTGACAGTGCTTCAGGGACGTTTTCTCTAAAAATGTCAACTCTTTCTCAGAAATGATTTTATGAAAAGAAAAGAACGGCATAGCGTGTGAAACTATATGTCGGTTTCAGATGTTAAATGTTGGGGCTAAGAGATTTCTCTTGCTTTGAGAAAACTAAATTTTGCGATTGCGTGAGACTACCTTAACTTCCTGGAGACCAAAGTTTTCGCGATTTTAAGCAAGTTGCATGCAACCGTTTTTCAGGTGGTTATTAAATTCGGGCACAAAATACATGCACAGTGGAAACAACATCCAGTGTACTGCCCCATTTAAGATAATCAAAGACGGCCTATTCATGATTCCGAGCTGAGGATTCCGGATTCGCTTCCAGTTAATGGCGTCCGGATCCCTTGTCAGTAGAACTTGGAATCCAGCTTCCAACCATTAGCGAGATTCCGGATTCCTTACGCTGAATTTCCAATTCCAAAGCCCAGGAGTCCGGATTCCACAAGACCTTCCTTTGGGAAATGGATAACTTTTAATTTCGAAGGAATCTCTCTTTTAAATCCTTGGTGCATCCATAACTCGACAGTACAAGCAGAGCCAATTTACCATGGATTTTATAGCACAAGTGAGAGAAAAATAACTTTGTTAACAGACTCAATTAACAGGATGTAGGGTAATGGCGTGAGTTTTGTTATGGGCGCACACTAGGGTGTGGATTTAGTAGAGTCGAAAACAACTGTACTGATGAACGGTAGCATGACCTTAGGGAGCAGGGAAAGCAGATAGTATATGCCAAATTGACCAATCAGAGCGCGCGCTTTAATTTTTTTAGGTTATAATGTATTTTTTTTTCTTTTCTTTTCTAATAGAGAACGCGGTTAAACTTGCCCCCGCCCCAAGCCAACAGTCGACTAAAGCAGGATATAAAAGCCACCATGACTGTCGCCTTGGCTGTGGTAACATACTTTATCTGCTACGCACCGGCACTCGCTTTGGCAATCTGGAAAAAGGAGTACGGCATGCATAATGATTGGGTCACCTTTCTGGTTGGTTTCTGTTCATTTATTTCAAGCGCTTCTAACCCTATCATCTACGTATTGCGAAACAAGAGATACCGCGACGCCATCAGACAACTGGTAAGAGATCTCTTTGGGAGCAGCCCGTTTCAAGAGATGCCCGAAAAAATTAAGCAAAAGGAGCAGAGCCATCCAGGACCTGGATTGAAGAAAAGGGAAGGCGGAGAACCAAGAACAAGCCCAGGACATGGGGAAAATCTGGAAAATGAAGCTGGAGTCATTGAAAATGCTTCATCCAGTGCCATGGTCCAAGAGGAAAGAATTGTGAAAATTGCTTGGGAGTTAGACGAAGAGGATAGCAGCTGCGATTAAGCTTGTCAACATGGGTTATAGGTAGACGACGCCGATCAAGAAGACAGTTTACCCGCAGAATAAGATTGTCAAGAAGGCGGTTCCAAGATGGCGGTCATTGACAATCAAGACGTGATGCTCATGTCATACGATCAGTTTCGACATTTTCTGAGACGAGTCACAAACCCTGCAAAGTTTATATTCATAGCTTGTTTGCTTGATATGCTTTAGGCCCCACACAACCATGAAGGTATAGCCTGGTTTGAACAGGGTTACAAACAGTTCGTAGCGTAGCTAACTATATATAAATAAAAGGTTGAGTTTGATCGTCCGGGTGAACGTAGTCCTGAATAGGACTGTTGTTGTTGACAGTGACTGACGTTTCGACAACCTGTGCAGTAGTCATCTTCAGAGTCCAAGTGAGTTGTGTCACGTCAGTTGATGGTATTATACTCTGGTTATTGATCTGATTGGTCAATTATGTCGCGATGTTATTGGTCGTCTGTCAGTTAAGCCGTGATGTTATTGGCTATGAAGACTCGTAATCAGTAATTGGTGCGTTTCGATCCGTCTATTGTCACAGTGAAACAGTCGTCTATTGTTAGTCAAATTTTCAGTTCTCCAGTTGTTCTCTCGTAGTTAGTTTTGCTTGATCTCGTCAATAAGTCGTTTGTGTGGCGCTGGTAACTGTTGGCTACGATTCAGTGGCGTTTGTTCTAAGTTAGTAAACCAGCTTTCTAAAGTAAGACGTTGATAGTAGTCTGTAGAATACGTTATACATGTCGCAGAGTCCCAGTCAATTTGATGTTTCGTCTTTAAATGGTGCTCAGCAATGTGATTGTTGACGTCACCATTCCTCGTCGCGCGTTTGTGTTCGGTCAGTCGCGTGCTTAGGTTTCTGCCGGTTTCACTAATGTAAGAAGCCTGGCAGTCGCAGCATTTGATCTTGTATACTGCTCCCTGTCTGTCCTCCGGTTTGTCTTTGTCCTTGACATTAGTAAGCAGTCGCCGTAAAGTGGTTATCGGTTTGTGCGCAACACGTATATTGTAAGGTTGTAATATACGTGCAATAGTTTCAGAGGTGCCTCTGATGTACGGTATAGTCGCTGTCGTAACAGGGCCAGAGTTGGTCTGAGAGTTGGAATCAGTGTTACTGTGAGCGTTCCGTCTAACAAAGTCCGTGTTGTAATTGTTCTTACTAAAAACGTTGTTAAGATAATCAGTCTCCTCTTGTAGGATGTCAGGTGAGTCGCAAACTAGTTGCGCTCGTCTCGTCAGAGTCCGGATAGTAGTAGCCTTGTGAGAGGTCGGGTTGTACGAAAACTGGTCTAGTAATCGGTCGGTATGTGTCGGTTTTCTGTAAATAGTCGTTTTTAGTTTGTCGTTGTCGCGAGTGACCAAGCAGTCTAGAAAAGGTATCTTACCATTTTCTTCGATCTCCTTGGTGAACTGTATGTCCGCGTTCTGTCTGTTAAGGTGTTCGTGAAAATCGTCAATTCCGTCTTTGTGTACGGCGGTGAATGTGTCGTCAACGTAACGTAACCAAAGAGGTACAGTTCGCGTGTAGGTAGCTAGGGCTTGTTCCTCGATGTTTTGCATGACAATTTCTGCTACAACAACAGAAACTGGAGAGCCCATAGCTGTACCGTGTAACTGTTTGTAGTGTTTGCCGTTGTATTGAAAGTACGTCGAAGTCAAACAGAGGTTGAGTAGGTCCATAATGTCGTCTGTAGGTAGTCCTATTCAGGACTACGTTCACCCGGACGATCAAACTCAACCTTTTGAAATGACTCCTGGGTTCAAACCTTTCACAGTTTTATATATAAATATTAGACTGCAAAACAGTCAGTATTTTTGCGTATTCAAGTACGCGCGAGCAGTCAAACAAAAGGTGTGGAACGAGGCTGAAAACTCGCGCGGTTGGCGCGCGTAAAACTCTTACGCCACGCTTTACCGATTTCTTTACTGATTTTAGGAAAAAACCGACTGTTTTGCAGTCTACATAAATATATACACCAGTGTGCACGTGTTTACCTTAAAAATGTCAAAGTTAAATAATAATAATAATAAATATTAATAAGAATTATAATAGTAGTAAAAATAAATATCACAATAAATAATATTGATGATGATGAGTCAGCCTCATTCAATAATTGTTCATTATTTCTAAATCAGCATCCGCTATCTTGAATCCGCCACAGTTGAATTAACTAAATGTTTTATTTTGCCTGACTTTAAACCTGAAAAAACTGCAGTAATCGCAAAATAAAGATTAGCTTGTGTATAACAGAATTATTTTAAAAGCAAAATAAATCTACCTATGATAAAATTCAGCGACAAACGAACTTGTAAAAGTTGCTCTCAGCATCGTCTGTTATTTAGTCAATTCTTTTTCAATTCACCTTTTTCTGGAATGTAAGCGCCTCAAAAGCTCCACCAATTATGCAAGCGTTAAATAATATACAAGAAACTGCAAATTTTACAAAACATGGTTTTAAAGGGGCTATATATTTCACGACGATAAAGCTGTTTTAGGTCAATTCTGTCCACAAGTCTTTTCTCGGTGCCTTTTAACCCATGCAAAAAATTGTGAAGATTTTTTTTGCAGGCATAGAATTGAAACTTGAAAAAGTTGGCCCGACTTTTTCGAGTTTTATTCCATTACCATCCTTGCCATCTGTTGAAACAATATACCGTAGTCTTAAATAGCGAAACTGGTCCGGGCCATTATATTGGACAACCATTAACCACAAGGGACTGCAAAGGACCGCAAACGAATATGCCGAAGAACGTAGGATCTATAAAGACCTGATCAGCAAACAGAATACTTCAATGCTGATCGTACTACGTGAAAATTAACTCTGCAAGACATTAACACGACACCAAAAGAACTCAAAACAGAGCGGGATTGTTGCGCCATTCTGATCCGATTCTGACGAGCCCCAAAAAGGGCGAAACAGCTCTCTATGGCTACAATCCCGCTCTGTTTTGAGTTCTTTCGGTGTCGTGTTGATGTCTTGCAGAGTTAATTTCACGTAGTACGATCAGCATTGCAGAATTTAATATGTCTACATTATATTGGAATTCAACCGATGGGAAGAAAGCTTCTGTCTTTTTAAAAAGAAAGCAAATAGCGTGACTTAACCCCTTTAATAACCATCTCTGGTTTCACGAGGGTGGCTGGTAGTAGCCCCAGCTTAAATGCCCGCCCGCCTGGAGGAGCAGTAGACTGCAAAACAGTCCGTTTTTTTTTTCTCGAAGTCAGTAAAGAAATCGGCAAAGCGTGCCGTAAGAGTCTTACACGCGCAAAGCGCGCGAGCCGGGCGTGTGAGGCGAGAGTAAAAAATAACCATTTCTGGTTTCACGAGGGGGGCTGCTAGTAGCCTCAGCTTAAATGCCCGCCCGCCTGGAGGAGCAGTAGACTGCAAAACAGTCCTTTTTTTCCTCAAAGTCAGTAAAGAAATCTGCAAAGCGTGCCGTAAGATTCAGAGTTCGATCGAGTAATCGAGGTTCTAACTGTAATTCTATGGTAATAAATCAGTACTGGATTCTGTGGATTTACCGTTTGCTCAATCTATAGCGTATATCGCTAAATATGCCGTGCATGTATCAAAGCTAAATAAACGTTGTGTTACCTTAGCTTCGGTAAATTGTCGTCCTTTTGCCTCAGAAGTGGTATTTTGAGCGACTTTGAAGGATTGTGAGTTCGCTAGTACGTTTACAGTTCCTCTTAATAGAAGGACAAGGGTGGAATCAAAAATTTGTTTTTTGAACGGCACTAGCGCCGGAGCGATTTTCCACCAGAAAATCGCAACGTTCCGCTTTCAAACCAGGCAGAAGAAAGCTCGAAAGATTCATGCTTCTTCTATACCTTCCAAGGGAAATTCCATCCATTTTGACCGTTGAAAGACTGGGGGTTTTTGAATTTTTTTCGAAGGCTAGCTCCGGGCGTTTTGGATGGATTTTCGATTGGAAAGGTACTACAGGGTGTTTCAAAAGTTCGTTCCGATTGTAAATTGTATTTTCCGCAAAGCATTTAAAGCTTCTTTAGGCAAATGTAGACTGATTCAGGTAAGAACTTTATCTAAATGACCGTTCAACCGTTTTCTATTTTGGTAGTTTTATCGTTTTCTTTTATTTTCTCTACTCCTTCATGAAAATGAAGGCCTACACTATTTATGCTAGAGCTCAGGCATCTATTTTTCTGGTCTTCTGGCCATTCAGTCGAAAAAAAAAATCGCCAAATTGTTGAAGAAGTCTGAACGATGACCGAAAAAGTGGTAAAAAGTAAAGAACTTAGAAGACAAACTAAGGAGTGGATGGCCGTTTTTTCACAAACTGTGTGAGAAATATTATCGAAAAAGCTGTAAGTATATGCCGGCGTAATAATTCAACAAAACAGAAAGGTAAAAAAAGTTCAACTTCACATTATCGATCAAAGTTTCGAGCACAACGGTATGAGGATAAGTTACCAAAAAAAGTTGGAAAGCCTTGAACAGAAAAAGGCGGTGCACCCTTCATGCAAGCATGGTGTCAGAAGGATTTGCCAACTTTATACCAAAGGAGGAGCGGCCGGCAAACTCACGTGATGTGAACGCCCTAGAGATCATCTGGATTATCGTAGACGAGATACCATACAAAGATCCAGCCCCAAAAACATTGGACGAGCTAAGACAGTGACAACGCTTCGCCTGGAAGAATGTGACTTTGGACACGCTTTGGGAACTCGTACATTCTATACCTCACCGCTTAGAAATTGTCAGAAAACACACAGGAAGACGTTCTGGCCGGGTTACTAATATTTTAGGTATTGAATGTTAAACGACTAATGAATAACAAACTAAGTTTTACAAAAGGTTTTTGTTAACAATTAGTGACAGTTAAGCGAATAAAAAATCGGAACGAACTTTTGAAACACGCTGGAGAAGAAGCGTGAATCTTTCGAGCTTTCTGCTCATGGTTTTGATCCATGCACATATCTAGCGATAAACTCCTACAGATGAAGTAAATGGTAAATCCAGTACATTTACCATAAATACATCGGCTACATGAACAGATTGTGTGGAAGCCCTGTGACCCAAGAGACGATCAGGTCGACCCAAATTGGAGTTTCGTTCGTCTCATGAAAAGTTCCATGTTTGGCCTAAGACTTAATCTTCTGGTTGCTTCCAGATATGGCTGTCTTAACAGCTGGCTGATTCCCAAACGCAATAGTGATCGATTACAAAATCATTGTTTTGCTAATTTATCTATTAGTTTCCTTTCCGTTTATCCGAAAGCTGTTTTTATACAAGTGAAACAAATCATTTTCTCGTGAACTTAAAAACGAAATGTAATTGTTTTTGGCAAAATCACAGTAACTCATTTTTCCAGTCAAATTTGTCAGCTCTCACGAATTTTTCTGCTTTCATGGATTTACCCGCTTTAATTATATTCGTACTTTTCCAGACATTTAGAATCATTTGAGTTGTTTTATTTGGTTTACTATTTTCCTTTTCTTTATGTTGAAAGTGTTTTTCAGCATGGCTCGTTCGCAATAGACCCCTCCACGTTTTTCGTTAAGTTTTGATAAATATTAGTTAACAAAATCCATCGCCACCATTGGGAAGGGCGCCGCGAAAATAGTAAACTTTCCACGTCTGAAAGTGATACGTCTTAAACAGGTGATGATAGCTCCAAAGAATGCGAAAATTCACAGCCGTTCATGGTAGAGGGGAAGGAGGGAGCGGGGAGAAGGGGGGGGGGGGGGGTGCCTCCACCACCATCTCCATACAAACGTTGGTAAATTTTAGCGACTTTTTATCTTCGCTATTATTAAACAAATCCCTTTCAAACTTGACGATTCTACTACTTGGTCCATGTCACAAGTTGAAAAAAACCGTGAAAGGGTCTTTCAACAAGTCATTTTCGTATACAGTGAATTTCAATTTACTTTGCCAGTCAAGGCAATGAACTTATCATGACTTTTTTAATCAGCACACCGTTGTCACTTGTTTAAAAACTCAGTTAGTCTTCTTCCCCGAGTGTTACAATACGAAGCCCACTTTCTTATTTTACTAGTTGGCTCACAAGACCAATGTATAACAATAATACACAATGGTTTATTAAACGTACTTTCCGTTCCTTTACGTCACTACCTACCTATTATCTACGTATACATGATAATATTTTTGTATCAAATAAAGTCCAGCGTTGTCGACCCATTTATAAAAATATTGAGCGTCCGGTATTTAAAAGGGGCCGTATATCAATATTAGCAAAATGGCTTCACGAACTTTAGCCAGTAAAATTCTTATGACTTCTCTGGAAGTGAGTTTATCCCTGGTTTCAACGATCGGCAATGGATCCTTCATCGCAATTTTTGCACGCTTCAAGAATCTTCGCAGTTTTCCTAATATTCTCTTTGTTAACCTCGCGGCAGTTGACTTTCTCAACGCAGTCATTAATATCCCGCTGCATGCTTTGAACAACGTCTGGGAACCCAGCTGGATGAGAGGAAAAACTTTGGTTATCACTCTAAGCTCATTACACCTGGAATTTACTTTACTTAACATGGTTTCCATGTTTGCAATTATGCTGGACAGGTTCGGGGCACTATACCTTGATCTTAAGTACTATACATGGAAGACAACAAGGAAAGCTTATGCAGCTGTGGTCATTGTTTGGCTGATCTGTACAGTACCCGTTGCTTTATCGACGATCCCTTTGCTGCAAATGGATTTGGAAGCTGACAAAACGTTTGCGGAGTCTCGAGGGAAAGTTTTCCAACACAGGAAAAATGCTGTGGCATCTACCATGGCATTCTTCATGGCAGCCTCGACAGCCCTTGGCGTTTTAACTGGTAACACTATTCACCAAAAAAAGAAACAGGTAGGAAATAAATTGATGTCCATTTTTTTTTTTACCTCTAAAACATAACCTATTGACAGTGCTTCAGGGAAGTTTTCTCTAAAAATGTCAACTCTTTCTCAGAAATGATTTTATGAAAGAAAAGAAAGCGTGTGAAACTATATGTCGGTTTCAGGTGTTATATAATATTGCGGTTAAGACATTTCTCGTGTTTTGAGAAAACAAAATTTTTCGATTGCTTGAGACTGCTTTAACTTCCTTGAGACCAAAATTTTCGCGATTTTAAGCAAGCTGCACGCAACCGTTTTACAGGTGGTTATTAAATTCGAGCAAAAAATACATGAACAGTGGAAACAACATCCAGTGTATTGCCCCATTTAAGGTAATCAAAGACACCTAATCATAATTCCGCGCTGAGAATCCTGGATTCCAGGGAATGGTTTCTTGATTTTCAGTAGAACTTGGAATCCAGATTCCAACCATTAGCGAGATTCCGGATTCCCTATGCTGAATTTCCAATTCCAAAGCCCAGGATTCCGGATTCCACAAGTCCTTCCTTTGGAAAAAGGATAGCTTTTAATTTCAAAGGAATTTCTCTTTGAAATTCTTAGTTCATCCTTAACTCAATAGTACAAGTAGAGCCAATTTACCATTAGTTTTATAACACAAGTGAGAGAAAAATAACTTTGTTAACAGACTCAACAGGATGTAGGGTAATGGCGTGAGTTTTGTTATGTTCGCACACTAGGGTGTGGATTTAATAGAGCCGAAAACAACTGTGGGATTGCCAGCATTTTATGAGTTTGGTATCCTACTGATGAACGGTAGCATGACCTTAGGGAGCAGGGAAAGCAGATAGTATATGCCAAATTGACCAATCAGAGCGCGCGCTTTACTTTTTTTTTTCTTTTCTAATAGAGAACGCGGTTAAACTTGCCGCCGCCCCAAGTCAACAGTCGACTAAAGCAGGATATAAAAGCCACCATGACTGTCGCCTTGGCTGTGGTAACATACTTTATCTGCTACGCACCGGCACTCGCTTTGGCAATCTGGAAAAAGGAGTACGGCATGCATAACGATTGGGTCACCTTTCTGGTTGGTTTCTGCACGTTTATTTCAAGCGCTTCTAACCCTATCATCTACGTATTACGAAACAAGAGATACCGCGACGCCATCAGACAACTGGTAAAAGATCCCTTTGGAAGCAGCCCGTTTAAAGAGATGCCCGCAAAAATTAAGCAAAAGGAGCAGAGCCATCCTGGACCTGGAATGAAGAAAAGGGAAGGCGGAGAGCCAGGAACATGCTCAGGATATGGGGAAAATCTGGAAAATGAAGCTGGAGTCATTGAAAATGCTTCGTCCCATGACATGGCCCAAGAGGACAGAATTGTGAAAATTGCTTGGGAGTTAGACGAAGAGGAAAGCAGCTGTGATCAAGCTTGTCAACATGGGTTAGAGGTAGTCGAAGCCGATCAACAAGAAGACAGTTTACCCGCAGAAGAAGATTGTCAAGAAGGCTGTTCCAAGATGGCGGTCATTGACAATCCACAGGTGACACTCATGTGATACGATCAGTTTCGACATTTTCTGAGACGAGTCACAAACCCTGCAAAGATAATATTCATAGCTTTTTTGCTTGATATACTTAAGCTCCCACAAAACCATTAAGGTATAGCTTGGTTTGAACAGGATTACAAGCAGTTCGTAGCGCAGCTAACTATAGATATATACTCCAGTGCGCACGTGCTTACCTTAAAAGTGTCAAAGTTAAATAATTATAATAATAATAATAATAAATATTACTAAGAATTATAATAATAGCAAAATTAATTATCACAATAAATAATATTGATGATGATGAGTCAGCCTCATTCATTAATTGTTAATTATTTCTAAATCAGCATCCGCTATCTTGAATCCGCGACAAGTTGAATTAACCAAATGTTTTATTTTGCCTGACTTTAAACCTAAAAAAACTGCAGTAATCGCAAAATAAAGATTAGTTTGTGCATAATAGAATTATTTTAAATTAAAGCAAAACAAATCTACCACTGATAAAATTCAGCGACAAACGAACTTGTAAAAGTTGCACTCAGCATCGTCTGTTATTTAGTCAATTCTTTTTCAATTCACCTTTTTCTGGAATGTAAACGCCTCAAAAGCTCCACCAATTATGTAACCGTTAAATAATATACAAGAAACTGCAAATTTTACAAAACATGGTTTTAAAGGGGCTATATATTTCACGACGATAATGCTGTTGTAGGTTAATTCTGTCCACAAGTCTTTCCTTAGTGCCTTTTACTGCGCTTTTCACAAACATGCGAACTCTAAAGTTCATAAGCCGCCTTCACAATTGCGTTTTTCGCTGCCGTCAATCATAATAGACCTTTTTACCGATACGGCTGCCATATTGAATTAATTCGATTTAAGGGAGTATTATAGGATGCCCAGGGGGCATGAGCACATTTCGTTTGTATTTTCGAGCGCTTTTCGGGACATTTTTTCTTAAAGTTTTCTTAGAATAAGACTGTAATGGGAAAAAAAGTCCTTGTGCCGTGTTTGGATGTAATAATGGTCGCCTTTTTCCCGAGAAAAATACAGTGAAAGACCATATTTCTTATACTAAACTAGAAAAAGGCGATCATTATTACATCTAAACATGGCACAAGGATCTTTTTTCCCATTACAATCTTATTCTAAGAAAACGTTATGAAAAAATGTCCCGAAAAGCGCTCGAAAATACAAACGAAATGTGCTCATGCCCCCTGGGCATCCTATAATACTCCTTAAATCGAATTAATTCAATATGGCCGCTGTATCAGTAAAAAGGTCTATTACGATCACAAGCAACGAATCTTGGAACACAGAAACACACAAAACGGATCGAAATCCACCAATCACCAATCATAAACCATGATCTTTTGAACCCTTTAAAGTAAAGTTTTGTTTCCAAAGAGGTCCGTTAAGATGATTGACGGCAGCGAAAAACGCAATCGTCAGTTGGCTTTTGAACTTCACAATTTGCATGTTTGTGAAAAGCGCTGTAATCCATGCAAAAAATTGTGAAGATTTTTTTTGCGGGCATAGAATTAAAACTTGAAAAAGTTGGCTCGACTTTTTCGATTTTCAATCATGACCATCCTTGCCATCCGTTGTAACAATATACCGTAGTCTTAAATAACGAAACTGGTCGGGGCCATTATTTTTGGAATTCAACTGATGGGAAGAAAGTTTTTGTCTTTTTAAAAAGAAAGCAAATAGCGTGACTTAACCCCTTTAAAAACCGTTTCTGGTTTCACGAGGGTGGCTGGTAGTGGCCCCAGCTTAAATGCCCGCCCGCCTGAAGGAGCAGGGGCTGTTTTTTTCTTTGGGCGTGGGAATGGAAACCCGGCCGGCACAGCTCTCAGCAAGCCCCTCCGCAGCAAGCCCAAGATGAAACTCAAGGTCTTATTAAGTAGAAAACGTGAAACTAATACAAGAAATAGAACGGAAGAACAAGGTTACCAGTTTTGTTTGTTAGCGTCATCTCACATCCTTTCCGTCAAAACTCTTGTTCTTTAAAACAACCTTCTCTTTATCAAAAGTTCTTCCCGTTGATTGTTCCATAAAAAGGAAACAGCTCACAAACTGGAAATACATTAACAAAGACAGGATTACTGATTTTTATTCATATTTCTACTTCTTGTATTTTTTCTTTAAATACGGTCTCTTTCATCAAAAATGCGAACTTTTATCATTGTTTAATTTGTCGAGAATGCACATTAATTTGCTAATCAAGAACAAAAAACGAGAAGTCCTTAGACTACCGCAAAGCTGACCATAACAACGTGCATTTCTTTTATAATAATATTTCGAACCATTAAATGCAGATATTTAAAGAAGTTTGATCTTGTTCTACTTATTCAGCATATGTTTCGTTTCAATATTTTACGAAATAAAATTTTAGATTTTTTGACTATGAAAAAGGTTCTTCGGACTCAAGGGATAAAAAGTGTGTTGAAGCAGGAAGTTTCGTCTCATCGATGGGCCTGTAAAATCACCGCATTATAGAAAAAACAATGTTTTAATTAATGTTGTTTCCTCCTCTTTTTGTGAACTTTGTATTCTATAGGACGTAATTTTTTTTGTGCGTACATATTTACTGAAAAACGTGATCTCGCAGTTGTGGTATCAATCTTGTCAAAATGGCCAGTAAAATTGCCATGACATCTCTGGACGCAGGCTTATCCCTGATTTCAACTATCGGCAATGGATCCTTCATCGCAATTTTTGTCCGTTTCAAGAATCTTCGCAATTTTCCAAATATTCTCCTTGCCAATCTCGCCGCGGTAGATTTTCTAAACGCAGTCATCAATGTTCCGATGCATACCCTAAACTACGTCTGGAAATCCAGCTGGATGAAAGGCAAAACACCCGCCGTCATTTTAAGCTCATTGCAACTTGAATTTGCTTTGCTTAACATGGTTTCCATGTTTGCAATTATGCTGGACAGATTCTTGGCCTTGTACCTTGATCTCAAGTACTATACTTGGAAGACAACAAGAAAAGCCTATGCAGCTGTGGTCCTAATTTGGCTGATCTGTACCGTACACGTTGCCTTATCTACGATTCCTTTGCTGAAAATGGACATGGAAGCTGACACGACGCTGGGGAAGTCTCGGGAGAAAATTTTCCAACAGAGAAAAGGGATGATCGCGTCTACGATGGCTTTCTTTATTGCAGCCTCGACAGCCTTTGGAGTCTTGACGGTATACGCGATTTACCAGAATAAGAGAAAGGTAGGAAAAAACCTCATTGACCAATATTAACTATTTTGACAACTAAAATGCATGTGCTGTGGTATTGCGAGCAGCTTTGAGCGAATTTATGTGGTGTTTTTTCAGACCGTTCGGTTTGCTCTCAAAAAAGGGAAAAACCTATAAATTGCATGCATGAGCAAAATCAAAGCACTAGAGAGATTAATTAAGAGCCACATTTACTGGAATCAGCAAACGGTCAGATTCAAGCTTAGAATTTCTCAGAATAGACAATAAGCTGATAAAAACTGTGAAACTACTATTTATTTTATGAGTAGAAGTAATCAGTGAAACAGTAAACGAAGGGCGGAAGGGCGGAAAACTTGGTCTTATGGTACAAATTCACGTTTTTTTGGCGTAAACGTGATTCTTAATCTCTCTAGTGATAAAATAGAACAAGTTAGTGGTCTTAGAGTTAATACACGATATTTTTTAATGAACAGGAATTTACACCGTCAGCGTTGGACGCAAAGAGAATACCAGACGCGAAAGAGTGTTCCTTCATCCTGTTTGAGTTTCCCTCATACGTCTTTAATTATTAGTGTAACAATATAAGGCTCTTAATGCTTCATATACTGATATGAGGAAAAATGATTGACTGTTCTCGGGATATTGAAGACGAAGTTTCAACTACCAAAATTTCCACCAGATCAAAGCTGGCAAACTGGATGAAAGGCAAAGCAAAATTTGTTCCCATCCTTAAAAATAAGAGCAAGAAATTAAATTGATGACCATCCGATGTGCAAGTGGCCGAAATTAAAGGCTGCCCCCTTTGAGATCTTGGGTGTTTCTTCCTTTTTGCCATCCAGCAAATACAGGCACGCCTTCGATGCCGTCCCCCACTTTTTAGGCACGGCGGATCAATGTCTCTGTGAATGAAGTAGGGTTAGATACCAACCTTACACCCACCAAACAATCAGCCCAATTTAGGAAGAGGAAAAAATGGTTACAAGATCTGATGTCGTAAGCAACACGTTTACGGCTTCCACGAAGATAAATATTACGCTCAGTTGTGGAACAAGCGCATGAATTTTCATCAAAAGTAGAAACAGACTACTTTAAAAAAAGCAATATTTAAGATTCACTGGCAAAAGTGGTGGATTACCGTATTTACAAGAATAATCACCACCTCCGATAAAACCGCCCCGCCCCGCCCCCGGGATTAATTCCGCATTTGGGACAAAAAGTTAACGCGTCAAGCGTTGCGGCCTCGACATAATCAAAATCAAATTAAGAACATGTTAAACCCGTCTTCTGTAGTTTAATACGGATAATAATGATAATATCGCAGTTGAGACAATTCTTTGTCGCGTTAAACTTTTTTTTAAATAAACTCCGCCCATAATTAAAGGCGTGAAAAGTTAAATAAGCGCCGCGGAGCTTATTTGAGTAAATATGGTTGCCCTACTAACGCATGAATTCACGTTTTTTTTTTTTCAGCAATTAGCATTAGCACTCAATGTCATACCGATTTAAAAATTCCAAAAAGTACCCATAAAAGTTTTAATTAGTACGATTATTTTTTTCTTGGGATCTCAAATAGAGGCAAACCAGACCTTGGAGAATCCAGTGCTTAGATATTAACTGAGTACCATTTTGAGCTACTTTAAAACCCGAAAGAAAATAAATGGAGGAACAAATGAGCGAAAGAATAAAAGGATTTATGAGTTCCTCAGGCCATGCAAAAATACTTATCTACTTTCTCTTTTGGCAATAGAGAAAGCAGTTGAATTTACCTGCTCTCCAAGCAGAAGGACGGATAAAGCAGGATATTAAAGCCGCCGTAACAGTTGCCATGGCCGTGATGACGTACTTTATCTGCTACGTACCAGCAATTGTCTTTGTATTCTGGAGCCGTAACGCCGATATCTTGTACAATGATTGGATTGCATTCCTGGCCAGTTTCTGTACGTTTATTTCAAGCGCTTCCAATCCAATCATCTACGTACTGCGAAACAAAAGATACCGCAATGCCATCAGGCAGTTGGTAAAAGATCCTTTGGGGAGCAGCCTGTTTCTAGAGATGCCAGTCAAAAATAGAGGGAAGAAGCAAAGAAAACCAGGGAGTGCACCAAGGAAGATAGAAAGCGAAGAACAAGGGGCACGTCCAATATTTGAGATAGAGCATAAGAAAGAGGGTGGAGATCATCTGAATGAAGTGTCATGTCAAATGGTCCTGGCTGACAAAATAGTGAAAATAGCTTGGAAGGAAAATGAAGAGCGAAGCTGCTCTGATCAGGCCTGTCAGAATCTTGGTTTAAAGTTGGAAGAAGCCGAAGATCAAGATGACAGCTCACCAGCTGCAGACGGTGATTTGGTTGAAGATAAAAATATTTAACTTGATAGTGAAGTTCGATTGGAGCGATCTGTACTTCATTTCCTTCTTTCTTGGTGATTTTCGGCCTTTCTAATCCAGTCTGTGTTTTATTCTTTTGCCGGTTTTCTTTGCTATCATAGGGCGACATGGTCGAGGCATCGGCCCACCCAGTTATTACAATAATTTGGATTTGATAGATAGATAGATAGATAGATAGTTTATTAAAATATCGAACATGGCAGTCCGTAGACTGAATTGCGTTACAATTACTTAAAACTAAGATTAAATAAATTCCAAAATTATAAATACTAATTGAAATTATACCAAAAAACATTTCTATAAAAATGCGAAAAACTCTCTATATATAACTAGGTACAAACTAGTCCAAAAAATTATGTACACTTACTTGGAATAAAAGTGTTCTTAAAACGATTTGTATGTGTGCGGGGCATGGCATAAGCCCTGGACTGTCTTAGATTATGTCTGTGTTCTCTCTTAGGAGGTAAGACAGGCACAAGTTTGTGATCCGGGCATGACGTGATAGACTCGTAAAGCTTGCTACACAGGGCCACGCGTCTAGCGTGCAAGGTTACTAAATCGAACCTGACCAAACATTCTGAATACGACGCATAAGGACAAATGATGGAGAGCGCTCTCTTTTGCTAGTTCGATGTCGTCACTAAGATACTGTGGAAGCGCATGATGAAAAACTGGCGCACAGTACTCTAAAACAGGTCTTATCACGGTGCAGTAAAAATTTACAATGTCGCTCAGTGGAACGTTGGCGCGCTTTGGAAGAACAATAAAATAAAGGCGCTTGTTCGCTTTCGTAATGCACTCTGAGATGGTTCGTTCCATTTTAAATCTGAGCTAATAGTGACTCCTAAGATTTTTCTGTGTTTCTATAATTTAGCCAGAGTTTACCTGTTCCAAAAAAACCAACTTTCTCAGCTCCATTTCGACGCTGAGCCTTGTTTTAATTATCTTTTCTCTTTGCAATTTCATTGGCCGAGAAAAGAAAAAAACACTCTAATGAAGCTCATGAAAGTTTTTAATGTAAAGACAATGGTAAGAAACCCACCTGGAAAATATAGGTAACTCCCAAGGGGATCAGTTTCTCCGGGAGATTTTCCAGTCGAGTAAACTGAGCCGCATGTGTATCATTTTGACTGAACATTGGGGTAAAAGGAAAAGCACCTTATGACTGCCAACTATCTACAATGGTTTCGTTCTAGGTATCCCCGAGTCTAATTCTTCCCCTATGCTTGTAGACCCGGGGTGGTTGGGGGGGGATGGGGTACTCCCTTATAAAAGTGACGGGGGTGTTCGTCGTTCCTTTTAGGGGTTGAAATTTGTGTATTGGTACCGCTTAGGGCGCTAAAAAGTAAAATGACTGATTAGGATAAAGATTTATGACAGTGCTTGAGAAGAATGTGTTGGAAAGTTATCTTTATTACTATTAAAATTTGCAGTGCCAGTTATGTAATTTGTTGTTGTTGAATTGGTTCCTTTTAGGGGTGGAAATGAATTTGGGACACGCCCATAAAACAAGATTCTGGTACCTTTTAAGTGTGTTCTCAAAAATTTCCGACAAGTACCCCCGTCACTTTTATAGGGGAGTACCCCCCGGGCTGTAGATAGCCAACGGCTTCGCTTTTCGCCAGCTAGGATTTTAGCCTCTCTTAAAAGCACCTCAGGTAAAGAAGGGCATCATTAAGTATTTGTTATTTCTGTTGTTGGAAGATCAATTAAATACCCAACAGAATAAAGATAACATGAGAACATTTATTCATAAAATTCAACTACAAAACTCTTTATAAACCCATCTACAAAAATTATTGGCACGTATCTAAAGACCATGATCGCTGACAAGTGACATACCTTGAAACAAGGGCTAACTTAATTCTTGCAACACTCGATTCCCCGCTTTCAAACTGCGCGATTTCATCTCAAGCGCCCCTTAAAGTGTTTAATTCGTGGCCTCAAGTAGATCACTCAATTTGATCTCAACCAGATCTGTATACAAAATGTTTCCTGCTTTGGTTACCCTAAAGAAAGGTGTCACTTTAAGTCGCGCCCGTAACATAAATACTTTTTCTTCCTTTCATTTTAAAATTAAAACAACTTAACCGTATTCTTGACTGACCTCATCAAATGCAAGGCACTTAATAGTCTATAAACTTTTTAAGTCTTTTTTAATTTGTTTGTTTTTTTTTTCTTCTTTTCGCATTTTTGTCTCCCAAATAGTTATCGTAGCTCTATGCGGTGAGAAAAATCGTTATGGCTATTTTCCCTTCGCAATAAATAAAACCGTTACCTTTTAATTTGTCACTTCAAATTTTAATTTTTGAAAATTTTTTTCTATATTATTTTTTTTAAATTTCTGTTCTGTCAAACATTTACTTCGCCGTTCTGTTCACTTAAAATAGTTGCACGTTCAGCAAAGGTTCTGAAGGTTGGAAGAAAACTATGAAGGCTCTCGGCTCGAGTGCACTGTAAAGATCCCCTCCAAAAGATGTACATTATGTTCGTTATTGTTAAAAGGCTATAAAATGGTTTAGAAAAGTAGCAAGTTGTTTTCAGTCTACACAAGAAAATAGATTCAACATGAACATAACGGAAAAACATTAAGTTCAAACGGCCTCTGATTAATATAAACAGAAATGTGAAACGTTTAAAGAGTTCTGGGTTATGACTAAATATAGTTATGTTCTTTTTGTCATTTTAATTTGTTGTCATTGATTACGAATAAATAAATAATAATGTTCATGAAGTAAAGTATTTTGTTTGCACAATCAATATCAGTCATTTAGTCTGCAAACGGAGATCCACTTCTTCGCGTCACTGCTTTGCACTGAAGCGCTTCTCGTTTCACGAATGATGAGAGTTTCAGGTGCTTTAACGTAAGTTATTTACGGTTTACCAAATGAACATCTTCGAGTAGGATGATGATGGGACCAACACGTCGTCTAAAACCATGCGCAGTTTTGTGATTAGTGAGTACGGGCGTTAAGTTGCGCGATGTCAGCTTTACGTCTACACTTGTGATACTCTCTCAACCACAACTAGACGCTCTCGACCTGGTTCCACTGGCCCAAACGATAGAAGGCTTGCCATGCTGGCTCTCATACTTGTTCTTTTAGGCATGTCCCAATATCTGTCTAGATACGACTGGTTGGGTGCGAGGTACATAGTACTATTCAGTTTTTGACACGATCCCAGACTCGCTTTAGTCGAAGTTGTGGGGTTGGAAGAGTCTGGTGAACGAATGCGATCCATTAAAGGTTTTTCACTCTCTTTGGAGCAAACAGTCTCTACGCGGTCGGGGCCGTCCTCGCTAATCTCCTCAGGCGGCATTAGAGCAGGTACAAGGAACAGCATACAAGTAGCCAGTGTGGAGCACGCTCCAGCTACGTAGAAGGCGATCTGGTATGACTGGGAGAGATCGTAAATAACTCCTGCCAGAAAACAAGGACAAAAAACGTATCAAGTTAGATACAGTTGAACCTCCAATAACCCATTAAACCCTAACATCAAAATTCAAATTCTCATTTGTTATCCCTATACGTTTTCAATAGAAGTAGTGGAGAGAATTTGTTGAAGTATCAATTAGATCCATCTTGTGTGATTCTGTCCTTAATTCTCATGACCCGCATCCCCTCCCGCCGATTTTTACTAAGGGGAGGGGGGATCTGTACACAGGCTATGACCGCAATGTTCAGAGTTTTTGTTTCGCCTATTTAAACTGCTGCTTTGCTCATTTTCTTGGTCTCGTCGTTGTCTTCGTGGTTGGTCGAGCTTGCTAGTAGCATTACTACGCAAAACAATTCTTGATATGCTACGATTCCGTTTTAAAACCGACGATTTGATGGAAAACGCGCGACGAAAATGGTGTCACGATCTGTCACAATCGGCAGGTACCCATAGAAAGGCTCTAGGTAAGAAGTTGAAGCAAGGATTCAAGACATGGATTATGCGAGAGAAAGCAGCTATTTTTCTAACTTACGCTATAACCTACCTGCAAGAGGCGGTCCAGCGATCGACGTGATGGCCATGAAAAAGAACTGAACTCCAATTCCAGCAGCCACTTTGTCCACACCAACGATATCCGCACAGAGAACAGCCAGAAAAACTACAAAACAGCCATCAAACACGCCGAACACAACCATGTACACGACAAGACCGGCATAAGTTTTTGTCAGGGTACTCAGAGTGTCTGCCACGCCAATTACCAGCATAGCTATTTGGAAACAGTACAGTCGGTTCACCCTCGGGTGATCGCCAATTTTGCCGAAGAAGAGCCGACCAAAGGTTGATCCAACCGACATCATGCCGACCAGTGTTGAAGACTGAGAATTTGGAATACCGCACTCTTCGGCATAGGCAGGCTGTTGAGTAGAAATGAGAGAGTGCTTCAAACTTCTTTATTCCCACACGACAAAATACAATTATATCTTTAATATACATAATCATTCAGGGGATGTGTGAAGGTGTCCAATCGAGCACCTAATCTGACATTTGACAGAAGATATTATTTTATCTAATTTTACCTGGACAAAAGAAGATGGAAGCAAAAAAAGAGACAAACGGGTGCATACGTTGGGGCAAATTAATAAGAAATAAACGAAAAGGGAAAATAATTACGCATGATAATAGTAATGTTTTACTTCCTTTTCAAGACCTTTAAGAGATGTGGCATTCGTGGTAATTGATGTGGCAATCCTGGTATTTTATTCCAAACATCAGTAACAGAAATAAGTTGATGGTCTTAATTACTAAATACAGTGAAAGCGCTTAAAGACGGTTGACCAAGTCTGAGCGAAATAATGATGACGAAATCTACAAGCAGAAAATGTTGTTGGAAGGGACGCAGAGTCACGGTTTAAAAAACATTACACCTGATTTGTTCAAACTCAAAAACAATCCTTCCCCTATTCCAAAAAACAAAAACCCACCAACTGCACCCATTTAAGCATCTGAAATTGCAAATACGAAGAACGACTTGTAATTTTATTTTGTCGTGTCTCAAGTTTATGAGATCTTAAATATCTTTATGGTTTGAAAAAGTTAGCTTGTGGTCTGTTCGGAGTCCAGGGCAGAGGGACCAATAACTTACCAAATGAACAAAAGGGACGAAGTATCCCATCATGAACGCACTCAAGGATAAACACCACACCAAGAACGCCTTATTCTTGAAAACCGTAAAGTCGAAAATCGGAGGACGCTTCTTTTTCTCGGCTTCTTTGGCCTTCTCAACCTTTTCCTTGCCAGCTTGGCTGGGGATTCTATAAAGTAAGGAGCCGATGGTGCAGAGACACAATACCCCAGCGAGCACCCTCGTAGAATTGCCCCACCCAAGACGGTTCACTACCAGCTGCATAAGTGGGCCCATAGCGATAGTGCCGAAGCCACTCCCCGCTGTAACAATACCGTTTGCGAGACTGATGCGCCTGAAAGAACAGAAGCAAGAGAATAAATATTCAGCAAGATTTAAAATTAACATTGGAGGAAAAAAAACGTTATTAAGGTTGAGGTACCGTTTTTATTTATGTAGAGAACGGCTACTCTAACCGAACATTCCACGGATAAATCCTCTAACACCAGCTAGCCAACTATTCATCCTTTTTATCTCAGTAGTCGCCTTCTTCTAAAGAAAACTACTCCACTCCTGACATATACTTCTTTTAAACCCCACTGAGGAATTTTACCTGCGCATACCCGAACTTCGGAAGCATATATATTTAGCATGCAGCGTAGTGCCAGACTTCATAACAGCGTTTTGGGTTTGTTTATTTGTCTGTCGTGTTTTTAGCTAGATAGTGGCAAGAAAACGGCTCGGCTAGCTCCAAAAGGCGTTTTTTTCGGCAAAATTCCCAGGAGAGAATGGTTTAAAACAAACTTTCAGAGAGAAAGATCCAGCTTATGACGGTCTGCTTTGCTCAGCGCGAGTGCAGAGAAAAATCCTTGAATAGGGCTCTTTAAGGATGAAAGGTGCACGATTTGGTTTCAAACGTCGCGCTACTGCTATGCTAAAGTCGAATTTAATTCGATCAATTTAGTTCGGCTCGGCAGTAGTACGACGTTTGAAACGGGCCTTAGTTATAACCGTTCAACCATTTTCATAGTTTTGCCCTTTAATATGAATTTTATAAACCGCGCTCACCTCGAAAACCAGTAGGGAAGCGATCGAAGCGTTGGCAAGTAACTCATACTCGCCCCAACTCCCCACAAAATACCAAAAGTGACGTAAAGGCGATATACGTCGGAAACAAACGAGGACAAGACAAATCCCAGAATGCCTAACAAACCACCAACAAACGCGACTATCCGGCAGCCAATGCGCTCACATAAAGCTGACGTCACTGGGGCGAATAGAAACATCATGCCAAGGCCGATTGAAATGACCCATGCTAAGGGGAAGAAGAAAAATATACAAAAATAAATTAATATAACAAACAAACACAACTTAAAAACATCAGAAAAAAAATGATATGAAGTAGCTCAAATCCCCGGTGGCTAATACAGGAAGTGGGGGAACCCAGAAGTATATACGCCAAATTTCCGAATAAAATGTACAAGACTAAAACCCGACAAATTGAAATTCTGGTCACACGATCAGCCAAAAATTTTAACCTCGCGAGGAAAGAGGTTTATAAATTTATAAAGAGGCCTGCGCTCAGGCTACCGAAAATTATAAATCGGACGTGACCGGCATGCTTATGCAAAGATGATGACATGCTTTGCTCTCCGCTTACCAGATCACGTTTTACGAGAATAAATAAAATAATTTATTGATTAGGCCTGCTTGCTAAAGAAAATAACAATGACGTACGGGTCCCTTGTAAACAAAATCACGAACGTAGGGAGTACTGCTCGGAAAAATTTTTTCACGTTTCTAAAAGGCGCAAAGTTTTAAGACAGATCGTACACATCACAAATCAATCAGGAAATGATATTAAAATAAAAGATTAAATTCGATTCTCGGATCGAGTTCTCTTTCGTGATGAAAGCTTCAACTACCTCCTACGTGTTCGTCCGCGCGTTCAGGCGTTTATAGAATCGATGGTTAATGTATTTTGAGATCTATTAAGTAAATTTGAAAATTTCTCCAAAGAAACGAATGGCACTTTTAAGAATTGCACGAAAATGGAAGCCAAGATCGATCTTATCTTACATGGACAAGGGAAAAAAAATAGGAAATAGGAAAATGTTCAAGAGACAAAATATAATAATTTATCGATGAGGGAAAATATATGTAATTAGATCATCTAGCACTTGAAATAATGTACATGTGTTTTTTAAAAACTTAAAGTATGAATTCCTGTCGTCCGTTAGCCTGAGTATCCGGCCTTCCTAAGGGGCTAGGGGAAAGGAGATTTTAGATGGCTCCCTTTTTCGCTTCCATCTTTCCCCTTTTCCCCAGAAACGCCTGATACTCAGGCTAGTCGTCCGTCATTCCCGTTTAGCAATTGTCACGAAAAAATGTAAGAAAAGAAGTAGATAAGAAAAATTGAACCAAAGATCAAGTTAAAGCCACAGACAACTGCAAACTTGCATTGAACCTAACTTGATCGATTCTAAAATATTTTAATTTCCTTGGACAATGTGTTGGGACTCTGATGTTAGGAATAAAGTGCTCATTTCGTTGCAACAGTTTTCATGATTTCTAGTTTTATAGGTGACAGTTAGCCACATCACACACTTTTTTTTAAGCGGGAGAGGTGTGGGGAGGATTTAACGAGGTCAAGTTATAACCAAATCCAGAACGCAACAGCGAGTATTTAAGGAACAACGGACTGGCTTCTTACGGGCGGAAGGAAATCGCCGATTTCCTGGATTTCCGGCATTTTTTTGCAAATCTCCAACTTCCCCATTAGAATCTACTGAATCGAAGAAAAAGTATTTTTAAAAGTATTAATTATGGGCCGGGCGCACTTAAAATTAAAGACGCATTTCTTTTCACGTTACAGCTTAACCAGATCACTGCATTCACAAAAATATAAAATCATAAGATTATTACAAGGTCTAAAAAGCCGAGAAACGTCATACAGTATCCTCTCCTTGGCCTGCGAAAACACCCGTTTCTCCTCGCTCTTCGCCGCTGGAGAGGGGTAGGGGGTAATGAGGGTCAGAATTCGGACGCACGGTAAGATCTTTTCAGCTCTCATCATCTGTTTGCATCGTCCGCAATGCTTTCGTGGGTAGGGCTGCCTAATGGGTACCTTTAATTCTAAATCAGTTTTACCATTAAGAACTGCACCACGTGCAAAACACATACATCGTGTTGCAGTTTTTGACTTGATACAAAACTTCCTTCAAGAAGATCAGTGCTTTCAAGGCATAACGTGGTAAAATGCGCAGTGATCCCCAGAAAAATAGGGGGAAAGGACTTCCTTTGCTGTTTCAAAACGTTTTCATAGACCTTCATAGGCTCCAAATGGTTGGTGTTACTGTACTTTTGTTCCGAAGGTCATTTTGATTCGTGCTGAACAAACAATTGAAACATGTCCCATCATGACAAAGGGTAAAATTACGTAGATAAGAGAAACGATGATTGACACGAGTTGGAGCAATTCCAAACAGTACATTACAAGAATCTAAAAACCAAATATTACCACACACAACGAGAATTACTGAGGAGTATAAGCGATATTGCAGGCTAGTTTCTCAGCTCAGTCGTCTCATGGAGTTGCGCGCCAACAACGCCTGAGTATCATTTCCCTTTTTCGAAAAACAGTCGAGTCGAGTACTTTGTGCCGGAAACTTTGCGCGAGGAAAAATGTCACCTTGACAGTACAGAATGAAAGGGTTTTTAATATATAGCGATTATTCATCTATTATTCTGGATTCCCGATTTCTTATCAATTGCTTATCTACAAAGGCACATATGATAACTCCAGGAACAGTTCTAGAAAGCCTTCTCGCACACGCGAATGTACGCCTTTATTAAATAAGAGTCTGTAATGAGATCAAGAACCACGAAATCATATATCCCTCAAGTACGATGTGAAGATTTCCTGTCACATGCAAAATTAAACCTTGGTTTTTTGGATATCTTCACGTTTCAAAGTTAAAACGTTTTCATTAGATAAGTGTCGTTAAATCTTTCTGCGATCTGCATGTAAATTAGTTAAAGTTGTTTTTGAAGCATGCAAATCAGTTTGAATAGCTCCCAAATCTTCGAGCCCCAAAAAGTGCAAAACTGAAGCTCGGAACTGGAATCCTTATATAGATGCTAATGTTTTCGGTCGGAAATAAATTTACTGACCACTTGAACGCTGCAATGGAGCACAAACAACCTGGCACGATCCACTAAAGAATTTATCTTCAACTTGTTTTCACTTCGAAAAGCAAAATTTTGTGCTCAATGCAAGGTGAGGCATGGCAATTTAATACAACCACAGAAATATATCTTTTAATAATATCTTTGAGGCGCGTTCCATCTGGAAGTAGAAGAATAGGCCGATAAAAGAGGACAGCAACGAAAAACAGAAACGGAGAATGGTCAATTTCAAAAGTACATTCATGAATACAAAGGAGTACAGTGACATGCACAGAAAGTGTGCTGTCAACGGGGAGCGGAAGTTGCCTCTAAAAGATGTCGCAAGAATGCTAGGCTGTTTTAAAATCTGTGATACACCTCAACGATCACAAGTTTATTTATGCGTCAGGTTCGAAGAAAAGCGAGAATATGAAACTTTGCTATTTTAATTTCTTGCGTCAGCTGTCTTTTATTGTCCGGGTTAAGGTCCATCATTTGCATTTTAAAATCTGCAATTTCACTTCCGGTAAAAGGTATTCTGGATATTAACGAACGCCGGAGATCTTTTTCTTTCAACGCGCGCTAAAGAGTTTCAGAGGAAATCGACCAATCTGTGGATTTTCAATAAACTTACACGAGAAATTTCTGTATCAACGGTTACGAAACGATCGCCTGATAAAAACTTTATACTTACATTAAAGAAATAGAGATTGAGATATTAATTCTGCGCATTCGAACAAGAAATCGAAACTTCTACATCTGACACATCTTCGAGGACGCCAAATCGAAAGTTGAACCCGAGAGGCCATAACCCATTGACGAAGCAATCTAATTTCAGTATTGCTGATTCGAAAAAAAACATATTCATTGGCCGGGATAACCCATCTTTCGGCGCAATTTGCGGTTGCCGATGCCGTTTCAAAAGGAAAAAAAATTTTGAAATCCGTTGTATCCATACCGAAAATATTGTACAGCCAAGAGGGAATGCGAGTTAATACTTAAAGAACGAGAGATCTAAATAAAACTAGCAGAGTTTTGGATTAGTTGTTTGGACAAATAAAACATGGGACCGCGGGTGACTTGATGCGAGAGCTTCGAGCGCTAGCTCTCTTCCGAAAGCTCTCTTGAAACTTGCAATGATATTGACAAGATTTATAGTCATAAGAGACTTTTGGTAGAAATTTAAATCACTAACCTGTTTCTCCTTTGCCGGTATTGAATTCCACCAACAAAGCTTTGTACAGGATACCCGTATTATTCTGTATCCCAAGTATAACAAACTGAGCTATGAACCCAGCGAGGCAAACCAGCCATCCCCAGCCGCCGTCAGGAGTAGCCGATTGGACCTCAATTTCCACTTGAACTTTGTCAACTTCATTGCTTTCTTTAGTATCCTTTCCCATGGCAGTAATTTTCTGCAAACGTCCTCAATCAAAAGCTGTGTGACCTGAAAAAGTGATGGTAATTTGGCCCTCCCTAGAAAACGCTGTCGTTCTCCCAGCGAGCAACTTCAGGCGACGAAAATTTTTTTATTGCTGAATTGTCAAATGACGTAATAGCCCCTGAGGCTAAAGGCGGTTTTTATTGGTTAACAGAATCGTGTGATCTATAGACGAATAACAGGGAAGAACCATTGTTTTCGATGTTGTCACAAACTCGCCCAAGATCTGCATATGAACGGCTTTGTGCGAATAGCTTGAGGGCTCACGAGTTGTGCACATGACTTGACACAAACACGCTCACCATTTTTTAATCGAGAAACTCTAATTTTCGTTTTGATCAAGGTAAATCCATGCCCTAAATTGACAGAAGAAAGCTGTTCGTTATTTTGGGTGAACAGCGCGGCTAGCTCACAGTACCTGCTTTGCCATATTGTTTTGTGGGTGACAACACAGCGCTGTGATTGGCTGAGTTTTGAATAGACAAGTGCAGTCAACAATAACACTATAAATGTGCAGTGAGGCACAGATCCTGCTCCAACCCTCGTGATACTGTCGATACTTTACAATACAATCAGGCCTGCATTACAATGAAAAGAATTTCTACCATTTCTACATGTTTCTTCATATCTTTTGTGGGAGCTGGGGTTTTCCCTGACTAAAAATAGCACCGAATTTTATTCGACTTCTGCCTTGTTTTGCACGTTGCTCGACAACTTATTCATTATTCATTAGAGTTTATATCGGTGTCAAAAAATAATTAAACCGAGGCCTCGTGTTTAAAGCGTGCAAATAACAAATTGATGTTTCCCTTCATTTTCTGTTCTCTTTTTTTCGCTTCAAAACTTCAAATACCCGGGGAACACACTACGAATCGATAGCTCAATAATTAAACAACGGCACATCTTGCTGTTCCACTTCGCTATATTTTCCGCAGTGTTGGTCGGTTTCAGCAAATATTTCACTGGCATCACTGAAATCAGGAGCCGCTGAAATATAAGGAAACTAAACACTAGCAATTAATGTCAAGATGCTCGTTACTTTGCGGCATCGTAGTTAGGTAAGGGGGAAGGAAAAAGTAAAACAGTGTTTTAAAACTTATTGTGAAAGGAGTTTTAACAACGAAAATTTCTTAAAACGCGCAAATAATAGCAAATAAAATGAATATCAATATTGTGCCCGTGTACACGGTAGGGGTCACTTCTAGTTGATTACTCAGTACCACCAAAAAATGAGAATTCTCATCTCCCAGATGCCTTCGGTATTTTACTTTCCATATTTATTTCAATTTCTCCCTTAAAATCATATTTTTGACAAGAAGCTGCCGTTACGAACGTTTTCACCAAATTTATAGTCATTTGAAAGGAGGGTGACCGCTTAAGTACTGATTAGAGTTCGGTTACCAAGAATAGATCTTGAAACTTGACAGATAATCAAGTGAACGTAGCCTGCGTCCAAACGATAACTAAACTCTGATTAGTACCAGAGTTTAATTTCGTCTACGCGCAGGCTATCTGAATGCAGCTCTTTAAAAAGTACTACAGAGAAATTGCTTCAACCAAAAGCGTTATTTTGGGCAACATGGTGTATGGTAGGTCCCACCAATGTTGAAAACAAACTGAAGCCAAGTAATAAAATAAAATAAAAATGGGAGGATGGCACAAAAAGTTGTAGCTGGGCTAGCTGCGCGGAAGGCTCACGCGCCGAAAGTAGAGAGAGATAGAGAGCTACCTGCAAGCTAAGCTAAAACTAAAATCAAATTCATAAGTAAAACAGTTTATCATATTCATATCTCTTGGAAATAGTTGTGAAAATGAGGAACGTTTTCTCTCCTCCTCCGACCACATGTCACAGCTCTAGCTAAAACTGACACCCTCTCTTGCCAAACTTAAAATATTCAAGAAATATCAGTACGGTACTTGCTGTACATATAAACAATATGTATGATATATGAAAATTTCTAGAGCCGATGAGGGCGCACTCCAGTTTCAATTAATAAAGCGAAACCGAACTATTGTACGTTTTTGCGTGTGTTTAACATGAAATGGTGGTGTGAAATTAATTTCAAGAACTGCGATATGGACTGTGTGTGTTCTTTCCACTATGCACGCAAACGTTTGTCCATGGAAACAATTAAAAAAACTAAAGAAATAAAGAAAACAGAAAACTACACAAAAAATAGAGAGAGAGAACTGGAAGAAAGAAGACCAGCTATTTCCCACACTCGTAAAATTACTTCCTTGAAATTTGTATTTTTCTTTAGCAGGGGCAGATGTCAAATATAATAATAAAAAAGGAAACGAAAGCAAGAGAAACAGAGATTTGAGATGACAATACATAACGCCTTGATTGGTCGATAAATATATATACGTTAAGGTTGACAAATTACTGACCAAGCACGCAACCAAAACTATATCGGTGTTTGATATTTAGATATATACGATCAACTATATTTTTTGTAAGTCATTATGCACATTGAAGGATAATTGATACCTAAGAATATTAAAAACTGAGTGAGGAGAAAAAAGATAAAAAAGGGTTCCGTGCAGGATGGTAAACAAGACACGGCTCATGACAAGATCATTTGTCCCTCTAGCCATTAAAGGGTTAGACTGTGAGCAGTCTCTCTGAAGCGTGAAACTTCTTTTAACTTCCAAGATCTGGGCGTCACCGTAGAGACGGCGCAAAGAGATATAAGCAGAAAAAAAACTGCGTGAGGGTGGGGTAGGGGATGAGAGCTCTCTCTCTCCCTCTCCCCCCTTATTTTTCCTCCTCTCTTACTTCGCTCCGCACTCCACTATCCGAGGCCAATACGTGATCAGCTTATAAGCTCAAGGTTACGGATCCCTGATCAACTTTCGTTCTTTCGCTTTTAGTTTGATATGCTGTTTTCTTAGACTTCTTCAGGAGCCGATTACACTCGGCTCCTGACTTCTTGGTAGCAGACATGACTACAGCTTTATTGTCTGGGAAATGGAGTTCGGAAAGGCAGATACTAATCGGTTGGAAGTACAAATGAAAATGTTCTGCATAATACGGATAAAACCAAAAACAAGTTTTTCATTTAGCGGTTAAATAGGAATAGAACAGGGTCGTAACGAAGTATATGGGATCAGGGATCCCAGCACCTGGATCTGGGATTACAAGCCGTGGGATCGGGATCAGTAGTACTGTAAGAGGATCAGGGATCCAGTTATTCGACAATATTAGAGACCACAAAATTCTGAAATGCGCCTTAATTGGAGGGACTAAAAGTTGTTACATCACAAGTCAACCGAGTCAAATAAGAGCAGATATAAAATCGGATCGGATTTTGGCAAACCGACAAGAGGTTAATTCCGTTTGTGCTAGTGTGTACAATATCGCAATTCCTCCTCCACCCTTACCCCCTACCCTATGATTTAGCTATACAAATATCATATCCAGGAGTTTCAATAATCACTGCCGACCGACGAAACTCGTCGGCTACGTTTCTCAGAGAAGTCGGCTGCTTTGTCCTCCGAAGAAGCAACTAGTTTGAATAATAGAATTTGTTTACGCGGAAATGTATATAACTTAGTATAATGATCATTTCTTCATTGCTTCCAGGAGTTAATTGTGTGGCTAATAAATCAAAATTTGACTAAAACCCAAATCTTCTTGAATGGAAAATTCGCTCTTTTATTCTCAGTTTAGTCCCCTAAACGGTGGAAATCGCTTATTAGGGCTTTGCAATTTCAAAATTTTCTGAGCTTCACATCACCTTGAGGTTGTTTGTCTTTCTAAAATCAAGGTCATAATTTCTTGAAAACATTCTAGAAAATACAGGAGACACGACTGGTTGTATGTTGGTTTGACAGGTTTGCTTGGACATGTAACTTGTGAACATCAACATAGAAGGGGGAGGGGAGGCCCAAAGTCAGCAAGCGGTTCAACAGTTACGACCGGGATTGTAGCTCGTTCACTGGTCTAATTCCTTTCCTCTTGTAAGCCAGTTTACCCGCGTTAAATTCTTACCTAATAATTTCTTATTTAGAGACAATACAGGCAATCAATATATTGTAATTTATTGCCGTCACTGATAGTCACTTTTCTGACTAAAGCCTAATTTGCTGCTTCATTTTCACGTCTACCTAATTACATTTTCTACAGTTGAGTTGGTGGAGGAAACGTTCACATCCACGCCTCATTCGATCACTAAAGTAACATGTGTACCCTTAAAACCAAGCATATATTAATCCAATATCCATATACATTGTTGAATAAATTACCAATTTTACAAGGAACAAAAATATCCACAAACAACACTCGTCCTTTCAATATATTAAATGTAAAACATAATACTAGTACCTGTTGGTTCACTATTGAGTTACTTTTCGAATATAAAATACTATATTTAAAATTTGCGTTTGAATCCCAATAAAATAAACCGAGAAGGGAAGCACAAAACAGCCGAAAAACGAGTTTAACTTCAGTAGGGAAAACTGCAGCTTTCGGTCCAAACATTTAAACAGACAGCGAATCTTGGATTTAAGTTATCGGTAGTCCATTGTTCGGTTCTGACAAGGGAGGACCATGTACTTGACTGCTCTTTTATGTAAAATTACCCGAGAAATATCAAAGAATTTTACATTGCTCTTCTCGAAATCGTACTCACACACTACGTTATATAATAGCTATACTAACTTACAGAAGTTCTCGACAACATTCAGCTGAACATTTAACCCTAACACACTGATGCATGCGATCAAAATACGACTTTTGTACAAACTCCTTAATTTTTGGTAGCACCGACCAGATCTGTCATTATGGCCTGTATTGTTGTAACCTGGTTCTAGATTTGTTTCTATTTGATGCTCCTCACACTTCGTTGAAAATAAATATGCACAACAAATAAATAAGGCTTATTTCACTGACACAAACATTTGGACTTTGACTGTTAAACTTTAAATTACATCCCAGTTTTTTGCGAGGTACTGCCTTGTTATTCTTAAACCTGTACTATCGCCGTGTAGAGCTATCACAAGCGACTCTAGCACGGCAGTAGCGCGGAGTTTAAATGTCAGTCATGTCAACACCTTTAGCACAGCAAACTTTGTGTTTCTACATGGAAGGAACACGGCTTGCTTTCAATCGTATTTTTACTGCCGCACCCAACTGATAAACTACAATTACTACTTCAATGCGAAACCAAGTCATGCAACGTTTGAAGACGGGAAAAAGGAAGGGTCCCAGTTCTTCAGTTACTGCATGTGGACAGGGAAATCGCTTCTTAGACTAACACGCGATTATGTCATCTATACTTCTGTATAATATAGTCAGTATTGGTCTTTAAGTCCGCTATTCTTCTATCTAGAAGTCGCTCCAATTCTTTTTCCCGTCGGTTTTCTTCAGCCAAAAAATCAGACGTGATTGAGGAGCGCCTTGCACCAACTGGTGTAACAGACCTCTGTTTAAAATAGAAATTAATAGGAGCTGAATAAATATACTTTACACTATCATGCATACATAACGTCAATATGCTGTCAGTGTGCGAACCTACCTCAGAATCAGATGGAGCTGGGCCCGCAGCGAGGTCAGCGTACATTAGCGCCTCAGTATCCGTATATCCACTGCTGGCGCTCGTGTGACTCATATCCACGGCTCTTCTGGGAACATACTCAGGTAGGACCTTGCTTGTGGAGGATATCACGGGCTGAGGAGCTCCTGGAATGGACAAATTAAAGTTCCAGTGAGTGGCAATGGAAAGCACCATAATTGTGGGGCCATAAAGCAAGTAAAAAGGTCGAAAAGACTTTTTCTATTCTCGAACCATTCACGCTCTATTCACGCTCTTTCATAACGACTAAAATTTGAAATATTTCACCTTTGAGCAGTGAGCGCTCTAGATTGTTGAATTTCAGGCAAGATTATACAAAAATGCAATCTAACAATCTCTTTATACTTTCTAAATAAGTTCTATATGTTTTCTTGACACAACGGGTTGCCATGGCCACAGTTTACCCAATGAGAAAACCACTAATTTTGACTCAAACTGTTCAATTTACCCCGTCAAAAGTTCTCGAATGTAAAAGAAGAGAGACCTTAAAAATGACATTGAGCTGAGCCTTAATTGTTACTCTGGAACCTGAGGTAAGCTACTTTCATAAGATACAACGAGGTTATGTACCCCGTTTTTCGAATACCTCTTACGCCAGCACGAAAACCATACTGGATAGAGCTTCTGTTCAAACATAACAACAGAGATTTGGGAGCGATTTCTGTAACGGAGCGAAAGCGGAGCGGCACATGCCGTATAGTTTCTGTGCCACACTTAGGTGCAGTGTGATTACGTAAGACCCACAGACGCGGAAGTAAATATTCAGCCAACCGCTATGTGTGTGATAGACTGCGAGCAGTCTCTCTTTTTCTTTAGATTTAGCGAGGAGAGTGCATGCGCCGCGAGCGTCGAGCGGCGAGGCGGTGAGAAGCGAGAACGAGGGCCTCTCCCGTCTCGCGCCTTCAGTCACGCGCGTGGTTATTTGAGTGACTCGTTCTTCATGGTCGATGGACCAAGAAAAAAGAGAGACTGCGCGTAGTCTGTGTATGAAGCGGAGCTAGTTCTGTGTCGTTGCTATTCATGCTATACGCGAGAGCCTTTCGTGTCGCCTTAAAAACTATACAGTAAAAACCCGCGAGTAAGAACATGAAAATTAAGAACCTGTTAGCCTAAGATTTGCCATTTATATCCCCTATAAACAAGAACCTGTTTAGCCTAGAAAATGAAAAACAGGTTCTTATTTTTTAAAATCATATTATTGAAATGCAGCTGCAAAACTGTGCAAGAATCCTGTTTGGAGAATTAGGAACTTGGCATTGCTGTGCAAATAAAAGTGCTAATTTATTGATGTAATAAAAAAATAAAGTGCAAAACGTTAATATCGTTGTATCGCATTTTGAAATTGACCAGTAGGCTGATTACCATCTTGTTTTGTAGCTTGTTTTTTATTTAATTTTTTTTTACAGAAATAAGAACCTATTTAAGAACCTAAATAGCCTAAAATTGTGTTAACTACCATTTAAATAAGAAGTTTTTTAATTCACTTGACAACAAGATCATCAACTCTCAATCCCTCTCCTCTTTTAAGAAAAAACTGAAGATTAAATTATTGAGTAAGTATGAAAACAGTTTATAAATCTTTCCATCTTCGACTTTTCGCCTTCTTCTCTTCAATTGATGTGAAACAGCTCTAGCTCATAGTTCGAGGAGGCCTAACCTCTCATAAGCTCCTATAGTTTCTGTTAGGTCTCCTCGCCACTTCTTTTTTTTTTTTTCTTCTTTTCCTATATTTTTTGTAATTAGTGTGGCAAATAAAATAAAATAAAAATAAATAAAAATAAACCTGTTTAGGCTAACTCCAGAAAATGTAGGTTCTTACTTGCGGGTTTTTACTGTATATCCAGTGTAGTGTAAACATAGGCTGAGCTTAATTTTACCGTTAGTTAATGGAGTTGCATGGCTCCTCAGTCGTTCGTTCTCCGTTTGTAAAGTGTGCATTTGTGTTTCGTATTTCCGTATCGTCGCTTCAAGGCGAGCTTCTAACGAGGCTACCTTGCGATCCGACTCTGAACGCAGTTCACTATGGCGTCTGAAAAAAGTAAATATATAAAATCAAGGACAACTTTAATAAAATATCACCCGGCTATACGACTTTGTAGAAAAGAGAAGTTCATTTTGGGGTTTCCTTGTCAATGCTATAACCAATGGCAAGAGAAAAGGTGGGTATAAATCAAAGAAGACAAAGATTTTGGGGGTCTGTACAGATACCGTCCTCACAAAAGAAACAAAGGAACCAGACAATAGAGTTCTCCTGGGGGCTTTATTGTTTGGTTGTATTGTTTATTTTGTTGTACGTAAATTGTGCCTCGGTACTTACAGAAGGAACCGACTTTGGAACAATCTTTTATCTGCAACGAAATAACCGCTATGACTGTTGACGCTACGGTCAATTATTCTTTTTATAGGGAGTGCAAACGAGGTTAATAGAGATTTTTATATTCGAGGACTAGGAAGAGATTTAACTTAATTTTTATTCGCCTGTTTTCAAAAAATAAACAACAGAAAAGCCTCACTGTACTTTTTCCACCAGAAAAGTAAGTACAGTTATTTCTATTGAAGGAGGTTACGCTTCCTTCCGATCATAAAATGATAAAAAACTGCTAACATTTACAAACTTGTTTCTACGACATTCTCGCTAAAACTCGTAGGGAGATGAAGGCTATTACGTTTTCCCGCCAAAATGACGCTGGTTCAAGCGCGCACACTACGTAGTAATAAGAAAATCTCGTTGTGTCGTTGCCATCCTCGTCTCAGAATCTAAACTGGATTCTAATGGATCAATGCCATGACATTCATTTTCTAACCTGAACTCGTTGTCCTTGATGTCTGCCAGGACGTCTTGGTTCTTCCTCAGAGCGTTCCTGTATTTATCTTGATATTTACTTTCTAACGTTGACAGCTCTTCTCGGAGGGTAGCTACCTCGATTCGTAAATTTCTGTTATCGTCCTAGGACATAACGGATAAAAAAAGAAGCAACAATGGAGTATCTGAACGACTGAGGGCGAAAGTGACTGCATCAACTGTTTTCCAGCTAACTAGCAACAGAAGTATAGCATGACAATTTTGACAAAAAGGCAAAAGTAAATTTGGAGCCAGTTCAGTGTTTTAGGTTATTGTGAAACACCAGATACGTGTTCAGTATCGGACAGAGGGGTCCCGAACCCCCAAATCTCTAAAAAGACCGACAAATCGGACGATTTTTTAAAGAACGTTGCTACAAAATATCTAGAAACTGAAATAGTTATCACCGAAGAGACGCATACAACGTTAGCCCTACAGGTTAAAAGGAAGATTACACTGCATTATTTCATCCTACAGCTTAAAAGGGAAGCCTTCTTTGCGCTATGCCTTTCAACCATGGGATTCCCTAAAATCGACGAAATCTGGACAAAATGATTTTATCCGGGACAATCACAAAATGTTTCAAAGCTCGGTACTTTATAGCCTGCGTAGCAAGCGTTTCCGTGCGGTTTTGGAACAAAGAACAAGGAACGAAAATCAAAGACCGCACGAAAAATGGAAGTGGAATGCCATTCACTGCGCGTATCACGACAGGAAAGGTATACGTAATAGAAAGAATGTTTAACAGAGTGGAAGCTTGGTAATAATTGGCTTCAACAGTGTGCACAAGTTGTCCCTCCTTCCTTAACAAAAATTCCTAGATGCATCCCTGCTGTTTCTCTATTTCTTACCTCGAGCTGACCGACAACTTGAAGATTTCCACCATGAAGATCCGATAGATCCTTTTAAAAAAAGGCAGCGCACATTAAGTAGTAAAAAAATAAACAACCTTAACTAAGGGGCTTACAAACCAGGAAAAACACTTGGAAGCGGAACGAAAGTTACGAGTTTTCCTTTTCCCCTCCTCTTGGGGCCCGCGGTCTGCTGTTGCTACGCTGGCTGTAATAACGGGTATATTGAAGTTGACAACACAAGCAAGACAAGGGAGAAATCAGTTGATGAAAATATCGATCAGTTTGGCCAAAAAGGCCAGCAAATTTCGATAACACTGGTGTCCAACGAGAAAGCATGTCTTTTTCCCCAGTAAATGTTGCCAGATGTTAACCCGGTAAGGGTCTTATGAGAAATTTTAACAACGACAAAGCTAGAAACTCACAGTCAGTTGATCATTAAGAGCGCTGTCTCGCAAGTGTCTGTTTTCAATCCTGAGCGCTTCAAGTTGTGCATTGGTTACCTTATAAAAAACAAAGAATTGACGTAACAAATAAGACCTCAAAAAAAAGAACATAATTAACAAGTAGAGGACCATGAACCACAGGATATCCAGTTCGGAATGGGCATCCTGTGGTCGAAACATTACCAGGTTTTGCTTGGATGGAGTTCTTGCCCCTCACAGCGTAACCCAACTCCGATGTGGTTGGTATTCATTTAAACACCGGGAAGAGAAAGACAATGTATCGGAGTTTATTGTACAGGAATTTCTTGTCTGAGAAAGACAATGCGATAGCACTGATGAAGCGTGCATGGCAGGCGCAAAGTCGGGATGGAGAAGGGGGAGAAAAAAATCCCCCTCCCTTTCCTCCCCATATCCTCCACCCTCCCTCCCCCCCCCCCCTTCCAAGCCTGCCCCCCAGGCCCAATCCCCATCCCTTTGGAAGCACAACACCCGAATTAGCAAAACAGTATAAACCAGGTCAGCAAGGTTACAAACTCCTAAGCTATATTTAGTTTT